AAAAAAAAAAAAAAAAAAAAAAAAAAAAAAAAAAATGATTCTTGGTAAAAGGTTTTCCTCTTAGAAATCCAGTATAAATTAGTACATGAGGGCACTGAGAAAATCTGTTAAAAAAAAAAATTCACATAGAGAAGTATACATCTATATATGTAAATATGTATGACTATATATTACATATATTTGTAAACATATTCCATTTTATGTAATCAGCATTTCCCAACTCTTTTATGATAAATATTTGTTGACTAGGTTTAATTCAGCAGAAGATAAAGGAAAACAAAAGAAGAAGTTCAAAGGAAACACATGTATTCATACTGCCAAGAGAGTAATCTTGACTGGTTCTAACATGCAGGGGCTTGGTGGCCATTGATGAGATGATGTACACTGCCATAGAAAACGTTCACACCCTTATACTTTAAAATGAGCGTAAATCCTGGAACTCCGCTGGAGGAAAGACACAGATTACAAACACAACTACCTTTTCTGCCTTCTACAGTTTTTAACTATAGGACTCATAAACATCAACTGATACTAAATAATAAATGTGTAGGTCATTGCTCCTAATCCCAATCATTGGTCTTACCTGGCAGAAAAAAATTTGAAAACTCTTTTATCTACATATTCAACTCCTGGGTATAATTTTGTCACTTTTTTTTTCCTTCTTATTTCCTAAACAGAGCAAATATCTCATTTGTTACTGATTTGAATGGTACTGAGATGATATAATATATATATGCATTTCATACCAGGGCATACTTCCTTCATTCATTAGCACAGATGAAATTAAATACTTGTGTTCAGTGAACCATCCTTGTGCTTTAAGAGATAAGAACATGGCCAGGCGTGGTGGCTCATGTCTGTAATCCCAGGATTTTGGGAGGCCAAGGCGAGTGGATTACCTGAGGTCAGGAGTTCAAGACCAGCCTGGCCAATGTGGTGAAACGCTGTCTCTACTGAAAATACAAAAATTAGCCAGACATGGTGGCACATGCCTCTAGTCCCAGCTACTCGGGAGGCTGAGGCAGGAGAATCGCTTGAACCCGGGATGTGGAGGTTGCAGTGAGCCAAGATTGTGTCATTGCATTCCAGCCAGAAAAAAAGAACAACACCAAAAAAAAAAAAAAAAAAAAAAAAGAGAGAGAGATAAGAACACTGAAAGGATAAGAGAACATTTGAATATAAAAGTTGAATTTCCAGGGAACAAAATTATTTTTTGAAAAAACCCAAATATTTGTTTACATTTCCTTACAGAGAATAATGATTTAAAAAAAAAAAAAAATCTTACCTATGTAATTGTCTTATACCCAACAGGCTGTGAATTTCTCTTAACTCAGAGGCCAATAGCAGTGAGCTCATGACTAATTTCACTATTTGTTAAACAAAAGCAGGTTATCCTCTGAATTCAGAGATGCCCATGAGGTGGGTGCCACCCTAAGCACTCTGGTAGTCATCCTAGCATCTACCAGAAAAGAAGCTCTTTTCCTGAGACTCCAGGGGCAGCTATAGCACCCATGGAAACAGCCTCTGCAGGCTGAGTTGGCGTACAGGGTGTCTATCTGCAGGCTGAGTTGGTGTACGGGGTGTCTGTCTGCAGGCTGAGTTGGTGTACGGGGTGTCTGTCTGCAGGCTGAGTTGGTGTACGGGGTGTCTATCTGCAGGCTGAGTTGGTGTACGGGGTGTCTGTCTGCAGGCTGAGTTGGTATACGGGGTGTCTAGCACAGAGAATCCTGAAAATCATCTTGCACAATGATTCTTTGCTTGTTTGGATCACATACCCCCATGAGAATCTGTTTAATGCATGGACTCCTCTCCCCCAAAAGAAGCATATGTCTATGTATAATTTTACATAAAGTGCCGTCAAGAACCCCCTAAAGCCATTAAATAGACCTCAGGTTAAGAGCTGTTGGCACCAAACCATGATCTTTCTCTTATTCCCATTTATATTCCCAGCTTGAACTGTGCTAGGCCAGTAAAGGACAAGTGGGAGGATAGGACTGATACAGTTGCCAAGATGATTGGTGGGGGAAATGTTAACAATAAAGTGGATGTTGCAAATCCAAAGAGACAGAAAATAAATTAGTTGGCTGCCTAGGGCTGGAGTGAGGGGGGGAGAGTGACTGCTCGTGGGTAGAGGATTTCTTTTTGGAATAATGAAAATGTTCTAAAATTAGATTGTAGTGATGGTTGCACAACTTTGTGAATATACTAAAAGCATACCTAAAGTATATTACATTGTACACTTTTAAATGGGTCAGTTTCATGGCATGTGAATTACATCTCAAAGCTATTTTTAAAAGTTGATGTTATTAGAAACAAAAGTGTTTCAGCAGAAACTTAAAAGGAATCTTGCATGACCAGAGATAATGTGTAGCCTCCTTATGCGTTGCCTTCAATGAGGAAAGAGCCAGAGGGATTTTGGGTTAAAGGTCATTGGAGTTTTTCTCATCATGGGAAACTTATGGAGACGTGTGTTTAAGTCTCCTGAAGAGTGGAATGTGGAGGACCACCCATAAGACTAAAGAGCACTGGCTTGATCCGGTAGGATCTCTGCCTAACCCAATATTCTGTTTATGAGAATGATTCGACAGGGCGGCAGTGGCTGTCCTCCATGACATTGCTTTAAAAGTTAGGAATATGATGCCAATTTTCTCAAATCCTTTTTCTTAATACACTATAGACTGTTAACTAATACATTTCTCTAACTCCATCTTGAATCAATTTTTATGTCAGCATACTCTAACAAATTCCATCTGCATTGCAGTTTGCTTTGCATGATTTGCCTATGATTCTCATGCGAGGCAGAGCCTGGTTTATAGATCCTTGAGGGCCCCATGTCTCTGATTCTCACCACCCCCTTTTCCATGATACTGTCAAAAGCCTCTTTTGAGTAGAGTCAAAAGTGTCTGATTCTCCTTTATCTAAAAGTCGTTTGCTTCCACTGCCTTTCTTAAGTTTGGGCCCTGGTTCTAGCTTAGAAAACCAGGCTGATCTGTATCATGTGCAGGTATCCTGGATATATAGTCATGGGTTCCTGGGGTATATCATTTCAGTACACCGGCATGACAGCCTTCACTAGGTTTGAGAACTTGCTCTGGTCCAATTTTTTACACAATGAAAATGAGATCCAGGAAGAAGAAACATATGCCCAGGGTCACGTAGCAAGCCAGTGGCAAGATGAAAATGATACACGTCTCATTCTCACCCATTCTGCTTTCAGAACTACCAGGCTGCCTCGCACACCCTCTGTAATGCTCATCTCAGCACTTTCAGCCTCCTTCTGGTTTTATTTGTGGGGTGACCTGGCACTTACCTCACCGTCCTGCCTGGTCTCTTCTTCTTCATCCTGGTCAGGTTCGAACTCCGTGCCCCGGTCTACAACATCCACGCCAGCATGCACCCTCGGCTTCTCATTTTCCCATTTGGCGAAGCCTTTGTCCTTTGCTGCTTTGTCATGGAACTTGGACTTCATTTTGGGGAAGGTGTGGGACCCTGAGTCCCCCCACCCAGCCTCTGACCAGACAGGTTCAGTCTGGGTAGCCTGGCTGGTGGTGGCTCTCTGTAGCCTCACGGAGATCTTGCGAGAAGAGCCTGTAACCAGTGTGATGGCTCTGCTGTCTAAATCCCTATGTCCAGCAGTGACTCCAGGAAATTCAAACACCTCATCCTGGACTGGAAGTGAAAGAGGATGGTGATTATTTAACATCTGACTGCTTGACAGCAAACCAGCACGAATCTGGCATGCAAAGTCCTAGAGGAACCAACTAGGGACAGAATTCAATTAGCTGCAGGCAGGTTACATGTTCCTGAGACTGGAAAGCAAAGAGAAGCAAGGATGAATCAAGGGTTTAGTCACTGCTGCTCCCCTTAAAGAAAGCCTTAGCATTTAGAGTGACTAACCAGGTTTAGACCCAGAACCTAAAGGAGGTCCAAGCAGAGAGACACCATGGCAGCAAAGAAAGTAGAGGGCATTACCTGGGGGCAATGAGGGGCTTCCAGGCAGTGACCCATGCGCACTGCCCAAGGAGGGCGCCCGGGCAAATCTCCTGCAGGCCAGCACCAGGAGGTCTTTACACTGTTTGTGGCAATTGGCTCCACAGTCTGAAAAATTCCAAGGGTGTGGAAGATGATTAGTGTGTCTAATGTTGATTGAGTTCCTAGAGTGGCACTTGAGTTGTCAGCCCTCCCCTCCCCCATCCCAGTTTCTGTGTTGAATTTCAGAGTCACACACAGGCCCACGGGGTGTGTCCAGGGTTTGGAAAGGGGCCATCGGTCCGCACTTGCCTCCCTGAAGTTCCGAAAGTTCTCTTAGATTTGCTCAGCTTGGTTCTCTATGTAACTGAGGACCTAACGAGCAATTGTGCCTAGGGAGCAAATGGAGTCCAGCCTGAGAGGTCAGTTGCCTTTGCCCAAAACTAAATGCAAATCAAATGGGGTTGGGATTCTTTCCCAGGCTTAGATGGAATCCCCACAAAGAGAGCCTAAGCCAGGATGATGGCAAGAAGCCTCAGCTTCCAGTCTCTCCCAGGCCAACTGCTGCCTCTGATCATTTATGGTGAGCTGTTCCTCCATACAGCACTTGTCTGGATATTTTTACTCCTCTTCATTTTCCAAAACCTTTCAGGGCCAGTGATTGTATCTTCTGCTTTCTTTCTTTGTATAGAAACAAAATACAAGATGGGCATATGCTCAGTAAATATGTTCTATATTTGCTTATGGCTTTGAAATGGCAGGCAGCAGAGTCTGTGAAATTACCAATTAGGATGTTTTAGAGAAGGCAGTAGAATACTTGGGATAGAAAAATGTGGCACTTCAGATGGTGGTTCAGAATTATTACCTATGATGAGGGTCCTACACTTCACTGAACATCATTGAATAGAGATGATCATCTCTCTCCTACTATCACAGAGGACCTTTCTAACTATTTCCAGTACCCATTTTCCCCTAAGTGGTCTTGTTTCAAATAGTCTTAATGTTCGGTCTATTTTAATTAGTTTTTTTTTTTCCACTTTATGTGCCATTAAGAGAATACAAGAGATAATCTAAAGGTTTAGCAGATTTTCATCTTTATAAAATCGTGTGTGTGTGGGTTTTGGGGTATGGGGATAGAAACCAGAGTAAAACTAATGACTCACTGTGCTAGGCAATAAGATCTTGCAGTATCTTTGCTGCTTGAAAGTCAAAATCTAAGTTAGACCAAGACAAGTGATAGAGAAGCACTAATGGAAAGGTCCCTCTGAGCACTGAACAGTAGCTTCCATTGAGGTTTGGGAAGTTTTCTGTTCATGCAAAATGAGGACCAAATACTGCAAAATGACTGGTGAAAAAAAGGCATCCCAGGGGAACAACATTCATCTGAAGGTATTTCGTGATTAAGATGTTTCTTTTTATAGTTTTATTATAGTTTTCAAAAGCATTAGAAGATTCTTAAAAGAACTGTATAAATCGTCCGCATAAAGTGTCCAGCAACTTCCTAAACAATGTGTAATCATACATGTAAAAGTAGCAACACATTCCTGAATGCTTAATGTACATGCATATTGCATTTGTCAATTTGTCAAATTTATAAACAATTGATTCAATTGTTTATAAACTTAAATGGGAAAAATAGAGAAATTCATTCATTGAAAAGGACAAAAATACGTTTTAGTTTTCTGTTTGTCACCATCTATGTGATTTGGTAGAGAAAGGAACAGCTAAGTATGGATTTCTGTAATCCACAGGAAGAAGTGCCTATGGATTACAAAAATGGTGTGGAGATTTTTTTCTTTGAAAAAATTTCTTATATACAATATTTTAGCTAGGCTTGTCCCACTTCAGAATTCCCATCTGAACTGGATGCTGCTGATTCAAAAGAACTAGATTTATGTGTGTTGAGAAGAGTGGTTTGTAACAAACTATAAAATTCCGACTCTCCAAAACTCCAGGAACTCCTCCTCAGAGGCAATCACTCTCAGTTGTCGTTGACCCAAAAGACTGAAATTCTCAATGATGCCAAGAGCTTTTGTAGTTTAACCAGACAAATTTGATTCTTACCCAAAATGTCAAATTTTTAAAATGTTAACAAAATAAGATTGATTTACCTTTGCATTTGTATCCTTGCTTGATTATGCCCCAGAGCTGTAACAAAAGACAAAGGAATGTCAGAGAATCTGAGGATAGATCTGGAAGGAAAACAAGGCCACTGAGAGGGAAGTGCTGGGAAGCTTCATGACTGGCCAGGCACAAACAGGATGTCACCACTCTTGACACCCTTCCTGCCAGACAGAAGAACCCTCTCCAAGGGTGGTGATAACATGAGTTTCACTTCCCCTTTCTTTCTCGGAGCCAACTGGGAGCCAGGATGGGAGACGACTACCGTTTGATCCTCAGACTTTAGCATGGTGCACTCCCAGCAAAATGTACAGAGGCGATGGCCACTTGGTCTTTGGGAGTCCCTAGCTCCCTCTTTTTAATGACACTAGCTGCCGTTGGAGCCCACTACAGGAAATAGAGCAATGGAAGAAGTGCACCTCACATGAAAACACTTGGATTATGCTAGGTTATTTTCTGTGTAGTTTTTGTCCCGTGGAAAAATACAGAAGAGGAAATGATCTTAGTTATTCATGTCTTCATTCTCCACATTGGCTCTATGTTTGGCCTGTGCCAGGGCTGTAAGGAGATGTCGAGAAAACTCAGATTCTGCCAACCAAGGAGTCTGTGACTTCCTTGTGGTTAACAAGTAGGAAATGACCAATGCGGGAGGGAAGATGTGAAGGCCCGCAGTTCCACGAGGGAGCGTTTGACCGGGAGGTTCAGGGGCACATTCTGGTGGTGGTGTCTTCTTTCGCCAGATAGACTCCTCCTAAACGCCATGAAGAGGAGAGCCCTTCCCATGCCCTTCCTGTGTCTCCCCACAGCTCTTGCATGGGTGATAGAGATAACAGAGGTGTATACATAGTATGGGTCATTAAATGGGCTTAGCTCAAGTTGGAGAACTATTGCTAACCTTTTCGTATTTGAGTTAGGTGGCTATTATCTATTTAATAAAATAATGTTGAAAAAAGCAGGGCCCACTGGGACTGACGGGGGTGCGGTTCTCATGTCCACAGTGTATTATAAGCAAACAGTGCCCCTGCTTTTCCAGAAGAGTAAGTCACCACCCATGTGAAGTGACTCAAGAGTACAGGAAGATGGCTCCTTACCTCTTCTTGACAAGGAACTTCCACAAGTAGAAAACTCAAAGATTCCTTTGAGCCTTAACAGCTATTTGCTCCTTTGGAATACATATTAAAATGCAAATGTCTCCAAGGACAGAAGAGTATTTTGTCTTGGGGACAGGAAGGATTATATGACAACTAAGTAGAAGCAAGGGTGGCTGGAAGAGAGAGGGGCATGCTCCCAAAAAGGGCAGTGGTGGCCAGGATCATCACGGCGTGATCTTTATGATAATCTAGTTTGCTTCTCTTTTGTAAAAGGTGAATGTGATGATCCAGGAAGTTAGATAATTTGCAACCTCCCACAACCTGGAAATTCTCTCTCCAGAGCCCTTGGTAATGATAATCATGATAATAATGATGACAGCTAACATTTCTTGAACTCTTGCTATGTGAGAGGCACAGCTTTAGGCTCTTTATACATATTAACTTATGTAATTGCTCATGATGTCCTTATGGTATAGGTAATAATAATTTTCTCTTTCTTTTTTTTTTTTTTTTGACAGAGTCTTGCTCTGTTGCCCAGGCTGGAGTGTAGTGGGGCAATCTTGGCTCACTGCAACCTCTGCCTCCTGAGTTCCAGTGATTCTCCTGCCTCAGCTTCCCTAGTAGCTGGGACCACAGGCATGAGCCACCACACCTGGCTAATTTTTGTATTTTTAGTAGAGACGGGATTTCACCATGTTGGCTAGGCTGGTCTCAAACTCCTGACCTCAGGTGATCCACTCGCCTCGGACTCCCAAAGTGCTGGGATTACAGGCGTGAGCCACTGCTCCCAGCCTTCTCATTTTTACAGATGAGGGGACTGACCTACAGAGAGGTGAAGTCCCTTGGCAAGGTCTCATAGCTAGTGAGGGAAAGATGAATATATTACTTGAGGAAAAGACAGGAAGCCATAGTTCCTGCATACTTTGTGTGTGAGCAAAGGCACTGAGGTGGGACAAGAAAGGGTAAGATTTAAGAAGAGACATCCTAATATCCAGATATGTTACATTATTAGCATGGCTTCAGGAACTGGTGAAAAAGATACAGTCAAGCAAGAGGGGTGGGGATGGGGGTGGGAGTGGGAGTGAGGAGGAGGACATGGTTTGCTAATGCTTACTTAACCAGGAACAAACAGTAGCTAGGAGGCGGCACTGGGTCAGTGTGCCAGCCAAAGACGGTAGAGGATGATGCCATGTGGATGGGTTTGCAGGGGCATTTCCCACAGTCCTTTGATTTCAGACCACTGGCTGCTCTAATATTTGGAGTAATTGTGGTGTAAGGAGCTCTGGACTGAGAGTCAGGAGACCTGCGTGTGACTCACAGTTTTGCTGCTAATGATCTGTGTGTGACCTTGAGGGAAGTCACTTAACTTCTCCAGACCTGAGTTTCTTCATCTACAAAATAAGGGAATTACTAACACTCTTTCAGTTCTAGAATTCTAATTCTAAATAAATCTTCTGCAGAGCAAGTCTGTTGGTCTTCCTTAACCTTAAAATGGAATTTATTTTAAAAACAGATGGTTCTGGCACTGGAACCGTTTTCCCACAATTCCTTTCAACAGCACATCTATAGAACTATAGTTATAAAATCCTTTGAAAACCAATGGATTTTTTTTTTTTTTTTTTGAGACAGGGTTTCACTCTTGTTGCCCAGGCTGGAGTCCAATGGCACGATCTCAGCTCACTGCAACATCTGCTCCCAGGTTCAAGTGATTCTCCTGCCTCAGCCTCCCGAGTATCTGGGATTACAGGCATGTGCCACCACACCCGGCTAATTTTGTATTTTTAGTAGAGACGGGGTTTCTCCATGTTGGTCAGGCTGGTCTTGAACTCCCGACCTCAAGTGATCTGCCTGCCTTGGCCTCCCAAAGCGCTGGGATTACAGGCGTGAGCCACCATGCCCAGCCACCAATGGACTTTTTAACATGAGTGTCAGTAAAGATCAAATCAAATTGTACCAATAAAATTGAATATTTTTAAAAACAAAAAGAGCTGTAAATATTTCAAATGAGTAAATTTCAATTAAACTCTCAAAGTATCAAGGAATACATAAAAAATATGTACTCCAAGCCATGTGACAACATGTCTGATAGTATTTTATCATGCAACAACTTGGTGGGTAAGTATTAACTCCCTTTTACAGATAGAAATGACCCAAAGATGGTGAATAACTTGATCAAGGACATAGAGTTAGCAAGGGAAAAACAGAAATTTAACCCAAGGTTCCAGACTCCAGGTCCAGAGCTTTCTACTTCATCACAGCTGCATCAAGAATGTAGCACCAGCATCTCTGCTCCAATGAGTCAGGGAGACAGGTGTGGAACTCCCAAGAAAGTCTACCTTCTGCTCCTACAGAACCAGGGCCTCTATAGAAGGGAGGGACAGGACAGAAGGACTAGAGAGCAGAGATAAGACCTTGAGTGTTTTTTTTTTTTTTTAATTATATTTAGAGATGGTTGGGGGGCGGGCAGGTTTCTCTATATTGCTCAGGCTGGAGTCAAACTCTTGGGCTCAAGCTATCCTCCTGCCTCAACTGCCCAAGTAGCACCTGAGACCTTGAGATTTGATAAGTGCCTTCTGACTCTCACAGCCCACCCAAAAGACAGATGTATTATCATGACTTTTGGCTGAGCCATGCCATGGCCCAACAGCCTGACCTTTTGTTCACTGGGTCCCCCTCTGTAGGAGTGTGTTACACATGACCCCATCCCACACCAGAATTTTCAGGTCTAGGTATTTCCAAAATTTCCATCAGAATAGAGAAACTAGAGAAACATGAAAAAGGAGACCATTTGTTTTATGGTAATGGTCTGGTCATGCAATCCCAGTGGAGATACTAAAGAACTTCACCTTCTCTGCGATGAATAAAGAGAGCTAGTTAGACTGGCCTTGCCCTGTGTCACATCAGCTGCTGTGACCACCTGGGGCCATCTTTGAGGTAACAACTGCCTCCTATTTACCCATTCTCAGAGAGTGTGTGCTTGAACACAGACTCCTACCTTGGGCTCCCCAAAGCCGGTTATTTGAGGATGGGATGGGGAAAATGTAATTTCTGGTAGCATATAATATCAGCAACAAATTCAGTATGGGTCAGTGAGTCCACAGGGGGACACGGCTGCCAAATGAAGCTAACACAACTGAGCTCTGGCATCTAGGAAAAGGGAAATTTGTCATACTCATCTGGGTGCTGGGCCTCCTTCACCTGTAATACCGCATTTTCCACTTTATTTAACTTGAATATCAACTGGAAGACATTCAGGGCTCAAGCGTTTATGTTAAGACCAGGATCAAAAACTGATCTCAGTTCCCAAAGAATTATCAAAGGTAGGGGAAGGAAGCACACAGTCTTCATTTGTTGCAGTGGTACAGGTGAAGCACAGGGCTGAGAGTCGGTACACCTGTGCCGGAGTCCGAGCTCTGGTAGTGATTACCTGTGCCATCCTCAGGAACTTGGGTTATCCTCTTTGAACCTCTTTATCTTCATAAGCAAGATGGCGAAAGTAAAATACCCACTTGAAGGGCTTGCAATGAAGATTAGTTACCCTAATGTCTATGGGAGTACTTTATTACCATCAAGCATTGAGTAAATGTTATTTATTATTATAACCAGCTTCTCTCCAAAAAGATTTTTTTTTCCTTTTTGAGTTGTGAATTATTGAACCATGCCATGATGGATTTCTGGTCACTAATACCACATGAAATGAAAACTGGAAGGAACTGGCTAAGATAAATGCACCTCTTAATTGCAACCACTTAGGAATATTAGTGATGAATGCCAGGGCTCACTGGGCTGACACTTCTTCCTGGCAGGGATTAATAAACAAACCACTCTCTTAACAGCCCTCAACAACCTTCCCTGTTTTTGCTAGCCCTGCATTCCTAGAAAATAATGAAACCCAAAGATCTTGCTTTGGGTGTTGAATCTTTAATTTCAGGGAACCACCATGTTTTACTTGTGATTCGAAGCAGACAGTGGACTTTATTTAGCGTATCATATTCTTACCTTTTCAGAATGCTACACAAATAACTACATGCATAAGAAAACAACGGAAAACAGACTTACAAATCCTGCACAGTGTTCACAGAAGGTTGGCTTGAGATAGGTCATCTCCTGAAAATTATGGATGAATCCTGGTCCCATTTTACAGTGTAGTTGGGATTTAGCTCTCAGGAAGTAAGCCATCATTTCATCTTTACTAATCAGACCATCCCTGTTAAGAGAATCAAAGAAGGGAGGTATCTTTGAATACCAGGTTGCTAAGTAGTTGACTTTTTTTTTTTTTTTTTTTTTTGAGATGGAGACTCTCTCCTGTTGCACAGTGTGGAGTGTAGTGGCGTGATCTTGGCTCACTGCAACCTCCACCTCCTGGGTTCAAGTGATTCTACTTCCTCAGCCTCCTGAGTAGCTGGGATTACAGTCGTGTGCCACCATGTCCAGTTAATTTTTGTATTTTTAATAGAGATAGGGTTTCACCATGTTGGCCAGGCTGGTCTCGAACTCCTGATGTCAGGTGATCCACCCACCTCGGCCTCCCAAAGTGCTGGGATTACAGGTGTGAACCACCAGACCCGGCCATAGTTGTCACACTTTAATCACCCACCTCCCAAACCTTTGTGGCCAAAAGCAGATGAAGAATGTTCACTTCTCTATTACATCTCAGAGAAAGGGAGAACCGTAAAAGGCATATTCAGGTGTTCAAAGCCTTTTTCAGTAAGCAGAAAATTGCATATGTGTGCACCCATGTATGTGTGTTTGCAGGAGCATATTCATGTGAGCATACATGTGACCTGTGCACCGCAGCACAGAAAGTCTTCTTTATTATGAACAGCAGTTTCCTGAAGGACATCCTTCTAGTCCTTGCCTAGCTGTAGGGTTGCAAGAATTAGGATGCTGGAGAAAGGCGGAAAACTAATAACTGGGCTGACCATTCTCAAATTCATTCAGCTTGACGCTGTCTGGGCTGCTACTACATTGGTGATGTTTTCACTCACATCTTAGTGGCTCATAGCCCATTCGCTGTGACTGGCTGGGAGCAATTCTTCCAGATCTGCTCCACACAGAACAAACCTCTGGTTCTTCCTGCCTTCCTACCCCTACCTACCACATACCCTGACTTCTTGTTTATTAAAAATGATCAAATAAGCTGGGTGTGGTGGCTCATGCCTGTAATCCTAGCACTTTGGAAGGTCGAGGTGGGCAGATCACTTGAGGTCAGGAGTTCATGACCAGCCTGACCCCCCTTCTCTACTAAATATACAAAAATTAGCTGGGTGTGGTGGCGTGTACCTGCAAATCCTGTAATCCAGATACTCAGGAGGCTGAGGCAGGAGGCAGAGGTTGCAGTGAGCTGAGATCGAACTATTGCGCTTCAGCCTGGATGACAGAATGAGACTCTGTCTCAAAAACAAAAGTGATTGGATCCACTTGACACAGGTGAGCTCCAGACTGCTTCTCTGTCCATCAGCATGTGCTGACGATCACGCCTTTCCTTTCCAGTTCAGAATTCTTTTCTACCTCCTGTCCTCTCTTGGGGCCCGTCTCTCAGAGGACTGGTTGCCCCATCCAGCACTCTCCAGCCTCCCCGGGATTCTGCTACTTCCAGGTTCTCAATCTCTTCCCTGTTTCTTCCTCCGTTCACAAATATGCTCAAGACTTTCTCACCGAAAAATCTCCTTCCTCAGTCCTGCTGCCATCTCTAACAGGTGTCATTTCTCTCATCCTTCTTTAACTCCCAAAGTTTTCAAAAAGAGTATTCATTAGGCTCTTCTATCATTTCCTCCAGCTACTCTTTATGCCACTTGGGTTTCTAACCCTACCAATCTGTCACCAAGGACATCCTCAGTGGCCTTTTCTCATTGGCAGGAGGTCACACAGAGATAATTTCCTTCTTTTGGCGTGCTCCCCTTAGAGACCCTGGAATTGCATGCCACCCTGCTTCTCCTCCTTCCTCTCCAGCTCCCCTGCAGGGCTCACTGACTCTTTTCAGTGTCTGCATGTGAGAGGGGAGGCCCTGAAGGCTTATTCCTCAGGCCCCAAGCTCACCACCTTCTAAGCGTTCCACCAGGGTGTGCTCACCGGATCAGGACTCCAGCTTACAGTGGGGTTAAAAGACTTCATTCTCCCCCTCCAGTCCTGACTGTTGTCCTGAATTTTTGTACCACACCTTCAAGAACTTGCTGGACCTCTCTTCCTGTGATCCACTCTGTCTCAATCAACATATTTAAGTTCAGCTTCATCTCTCTCTTCCCCATACTCCCTGCCCAGGCTTCCCTATTGCTGTTTGCTGTGCCACAATTTTCCCCCAGGTTTGAGAATTTAAGATCCCTTTCTTACCTCCTATGCAAAGTAACTGATTATTATACATTATAAGTATTATTATTAAAGTTATTTTGCATAGGAGTTAAGAAAGGGATCTTAAATTCTCAAGCCTGGGGAGAAATTGTAGCATAGCCTAGTACTCAACAGTTATTTTTTCTGCTCCTCCCATCCTCCACCATCAAGGAGGCCAGTGTCTATTATTCCTTTCTTTGTGTTCATGAGTTCTCATCATTTAGTTCCCACTTATAAGTGAGGATGTGTGGTATTTGGTTTTCTGTTCCTGCACTAGTTTGCTAAGGATAATAGCCTCCACTTCCATCCATGTTCCTGCAAAAGACATAATCTTCTTTTTTATGACTACCTAATATTCCATGGTGTATCTGTACCACATTTTCTTTATCCAATCTGTTATTGATGGGCATTTAGGTTGATAACATGTCTTTGATATTTGAATAGTGCTACAATGAACATTCACAGGCCTGTGTCTTTATGGTAGAATGATTTCTATTCCTTTGGGTATATGTCCAGTAATGGGATTGCTGGGTTGAAGTGTAGTTCTGTTTTTAGCTGCTTGAGGAATTGCCATACTGCTTTCCACAATGGTTGAATGAATTTACACTCCAACAGTGTATAAATGTTCCCTTTCCTCTGCAACCTCGCAAGCATCTGTTATTTTTTGACTTTTTAAATAATAGCCATTCTTGGCTGGGTGAAGTGCCTCATGCCTGGGATTCCAGAACTTTGGGAGGCCAAGACAGGTGGATCACCTGAGGATAGGAGTTCAAGACCAGCCTGGCCAACATGATGAAACCTTGTCCCTACTAAAAAAAAAGAAAAAAATTTGCTTGGCATGATGGCACATGCCTGTAATCCCAGCTTCTCGGGAGGCTGAGGCATGATAATCACTTGAACCCAGGAGGCCGAGGTTGCTGTGAGCTGAGACTGTGCCACTGCACACCAGTGCGGGTGAAAGAGCGAGACTCTGTCTCAAAAAAAAAAAAAAAAAAAAAAAATGTAGCCATTCTGACTGGTGTGAGGTATCTCATTGCAGTTTTGATTTGCATTTTGCTTTTTTGCATATGTTTATTGGCATGTATGTGTTCTTTAGAAAAATATCTATTTGTGTCCTTTGCCCACTCAAAGGAATGGGCATAGATTTCATAATGAAGACACCTAAACAATCCTTATCATATATATGAGATAAATACATTTATGAATGCATTGCCTCACAAATTCATCACATAATTTACTACATACATTTGTGTAACAGTGCGTTAGCCCATCACTCCTCCTAGGGACTCACAACGTAACACACTTTAGCCTATACAAAGTTTGGGAAGTCACATAGTAAAGACATCTATTTAATGAGATTTAATCCTGTGTTTCTCACACGTGACTAGTCAGTTCCTTTTCAAAAGCACTAATTAATAGCTACTTCTGTGGAACATAATTTAGAAAACAGTACCTCAGAGAAAACATCTTTTTGAGATATTTCTAGTATTAACCACTCAAAACTTTAGTGTCAGGTAAGCAAGCTATGAATAGTTCAAACCTTCATTCATAGGTTCTATAGATATCAATTCTATAGAAAACAATATCAATTCTATCAATTCTATTGATATCTATAGAAAACAATTCTATAGATATCAATAAGATGATATCTATATTATATGATAATTATCGATATAGAGATGATGATATAGAGATAGAGATAGATGTAGATATTTGCTACGACAATCTCAATTCTGTCTCTAGAACCAACAGATAAAAGAAATGAAGACTGGGAAGTTATTTTAAGTCAATGTCCTATTTACATGTCACTGATAGTAACAAACTAAGTGAAGAAGTGGGTAGTTAGCAATTTAAATTTTACTTTGTAAAGGAAGTTTATGTTTCTAATATAATTTATTTTAAAAGTATTCTTTGTTCTGAGTATATAATGAAGATGAATTTAGGATTTTAAGTTATGTTAATGTGTCAAGACTTTTCTTGGTGTGTTGAATTACAGATTTTATTTTTTTTTAATTAATTGAAAAAAAATGGTTTGTTAGAGACAAGGTCCCACTATGTTGCCCAGGCGGGTCTCAAACTCCTGTCCTCAAATAATCTTCCTACCTCAACCTCCCAAAATGCTGGGATTACAGGTGTAAGCTACCGCATCTGGCCCCAAATTTCATTTTTTAAAAATACTCATAACAGCAAAAATATGAGAGGATTTTAATGTAATTTAATTTGCCCATTTTACCAAAACAAAATCCAGTGTTTCCTTACAGGTGATTTTTAAATTAGGAATAAATCTTGCACAAGTAACAATCAAATTAATGCCAGAATTTCTCAGCAATTTTAAAAAATTATTATTTTTAATAAGTTGGGTTTTAGTCTCTAAAGCCATTTGATTTTTGGAATCATTTGATGCTAAAAAGAAACATATTTTTTCTCTGTTTGTCAAGACAACCTTTGATCAATCAAAGAAAAAAACAGTATCAATGCTTCTTGGCTATCTGCAGCTATCATGCTTTCATGAAGACTTTTTTTCTTTTTTTTTTTTTTTTTTTTTTGAGGCAGAGTCTCGCTCAGTCACCCAGGCTGGAGTGCAATGGTGCTATCTCAGCTCACAGCAACCTCTGCCTCCCAGGCTCAAGGGATTCTCCCGCCTCAGCCACCTAGGCAGCTGGGATTACAGACATGCAACACCACACCGGTGAATTTTTGTATTTTTAGTAGAGATGGGGTTTGGCCATGTTGGCCAGGCTGGTTTTGAACTCCTGGCCTCAAGTGATCTGCCCACCTCAGCCTCCCAAAGTACTGGGGTTACAAGCATGAGCCACCATGCCCAACCAGTTTTTTTTTTAATCTTCATGAGTTTTAAGATTGCTTTCAGGCCCGCTAATGCTGAGGACTCTCCCAGGCTAGACCTAACTATATTTCTCCTCTACTCTTTTTTTGGTGGAGATTTTTTGGGTTGAGAGCTAAGCAATAAAAGCAATATAGCAAATGGTGCGCTTGGATCATTTACAAATGTTCACTTGTGTTCAACACTGACAACACGGTCTACCCTGTGATTGCATTCAGGTCACAAGAAAATAATCAGTGACAAATTAGACCTGGCTCATCAAAGCACTAGGGTTGAAGCTGTCAAGCTTCTCCTTCTCTCCTCTGATAATTATTTTCTGCTTTAGGATAGTTGCATTAAAATAAAACAAAATTAAAACTTACTGATCTTTGTCCAGCACACAGAAGGAATCCAAGAAGGGGAAATTGGCAGCTATACTTTCAAAGTCCTCTTGAGAGATGTACCCATCATGGTCATGATCATAGTTTCTAAATACAGACTGCAAAGGAAAGATAAGTATTTATTTTATTTATTATTATTTTTTGAGACAGAGTCTCACGTCACCCAGGCTAGAGTGCAGTGGCGCAATCTCACCTCACTACAACCTCCACCTCCTAGGTTCAAGTGATTCTCCTGCCTCAGCCTCCCGAGTAGCTGGGATTACAGGTATGTGCCACCACGTCTGGCCAATTTTTTGTATTTTTCATAGAGACGGGTTTCACCATGGTAGCCAGGCTGTTCTCGATCTCCTGACCTCGTGGTCTGCCAATCTCAGCCTCCCAAAGTGCTGGGATTACAGACATGAGCCACCGCCAAGATAAGTATTTATTGAATGACTATGAAGTAGGCTCTGAACTTGTTATTGTGAAAGCAATGATAACTAGCATATGATTCTATCAAGGAGCTTAGAATCTAGTGAAAGATAACTAAGTCAATAGGCCTTTATAATATAATAAGTGATTTGTTGAGGATAAAAACAGAGTAATGGCTGGGTGTGGTGGCTCACACCTGTAATCCCAGCACTCTGGGAGTTGGAAGCAGAGGTGGCAAGATCACTTGAGCCCAAAAGTTTGAGACCAGCCTGAGCAACATAGAGAGGCCTTATTGCTACATCTTATTGCTACATTTGGCTGTAGTCCCAGCCACTTGTGAGGGTGAGGCAGGAGGCTTGCTTAGCCCAGGAGTTTGAGGTTACAATGAGCCAAGATCACACCACTGCACTCTAGCCTGGGGAATATAGCAAGGTATCATCTCTAAAAAATAAACTTAAAATAAAATTAAAAATAAAACAGAGGTTGGGCACAGTAGCTAACACCTACAATCCCAGCACTTTGGGAAGCCAAAGCTGATGGATCACCTGAGGTCAGGAGTTTGAGCGCCCCCTGACAAACATGGTGAAACCCCATCCCATCTCTCCTAAAAAAAAGGAAAAAAAAATTAGCTGGGTGTGGTGATGCATGCCTACAATCCCAGCTATTCAGGAGGCTGAGGCACAAGAATTGCTTGAATCTGAAAGGAGGAGGTTGCAGTAAGCAGAGACCGTGCTATTGCACTTCAGCCTGGGCAACAAGAGTGAAACTCCATCTCAATCAATCAATCAGTAAAACAGTGCTATCAGTGGGGGGAAAAGAGGAGGTAGATTAAGAAAGGTTTCCTGGGTAAAGCAAAGTTTAAATCAAAACCTCAGGGTTGAGTAGGGATTGGCTTAGTGAATTTACATATTCCAACACCATGACAATACAAAATAAAGCTTTAAGGTGTTAACTCAACAATGAAAGTGTACATTTAATCCAATTCCATTCAAAATCCCAGTGGGGATTTGTTTTAAATGAACAAATTGATTATAAAGTTCAAATCAAAGTGGGTATGTTAAAAGTAAGCAAAAAATTATTTTAAATGAAGAGCAATGAGGAAGAACATGTCCTTTCAGAAATCAAATATTCTACACAGCTACGTTAATCAAAACAACATGATACAAAATGCCACAGAGAGTGGAGTCCAGAAACATGTATATATAAAATTTAAAATATCGATAAGTATCTTTTAAAATCCAGAGAAATTATGGATTATCCAGTAACTACTGTTGAGTTAAAGGGCTAATAACCTTACAAAATAAATTACCTCCAAACTATATTCTAGATGTATTATATATTATTTGTTTACTTATCTTTTTAGAGACAGAATCACACTCCGTCACCCAGGCTGCAGTGCAGTGGCACGATCATAGCTCACCGCAGCCTCAGACTCTGGGCGCAAGCCATCCGCCTGCATCAGCCTCCCAGAGAGCTGGGATTACAGGCATGAGCCACTGCACTAGTGTATTCTATATTTTAATGCAAAAAAAAGCCCAAAGCTGCATAAAAGTACCAAAGATAACTAAATGAAAATATTTTTCATGTTTCCTAATCCTGGCGTGAAAAAGGACTTTCTTAGCACGACATCAATGTCAGAAGGCATAAGGAAAAATATTTTATTATAAAAAAAGTGCAAAATATCCTAACCCAAAAAGCTCAATTAACAAATTTTAAGATAAATGTCAAATGGAGCAAGTTATTTGCAGCATATATGAGAGCAAAGACACAAAAGTCAAACAGGCAATCACCAAATAAAAATACAAATGGCCAATACATCCATGGAAATGTATTCAACTCTGCTAATCATTACAGAAACATAAATGAAACTTTTTTAAACTCTCAGATTAAATAAAATCTTAAAATGCTGTGATTGATCATTTTCTAGGGTATGAGACAATAGGTACTCTCGTATCAAGTTAGTGACGTAAATAGCCACAGTATTTCTGGAAGACAATCAGGAATTTTAAGTGCCTACTCTCTGACACAGCAATTCCATTTCAAGGAACCTGTTCTAAAGAAATAATTGAACAAAGTTGTGTAAGATATACATGTATGTATATATGTAGTATGTGTGTTAATATATACATAGAGAATAAAGTCATATAAGATAATCTACAAATTATCAGTGGTTATCCCTGGAGAACAGAATTACCAACATCTCAAAGTAAAGCTTTTTGTTTTCTATAATTTATTTAATGCTTTAATAGTTTCGATGATTCTATCTTCCTTTATAATCAGAGAAAAATGAAAAAGGCTTCCCACTGCCTTCTGCAAAATTAGGTTTTCAAAAAAATTTGTAAATTCTTTCTGCAAACACATGTACTCAAATTTATATTTGATTTTGATTCCAGTTTTAATTAATCTTTCTCCCTTTTCCCAGTAATTTCTATTTATTCTATTTATCAATGTTGCCCTATGTTGGCAGTTGCTTCAGGAGTACTTTGGGAAGTAGGTAAGGTATAAATGAATGCATTAATTAAAAATATGACTAAAATGAGCCTATCTCAAGCTTTTTCATAGGTAACAGAATTGTGCAAAATCAGAAAACATTCTTTTTTGCGTGTGTGTGGAAATCCCAGTATCATTGCTTAGCCATAATAAAAATAGCTTAAAAGTTAACTATTTTGGAATACCTACTATTTATAGTTTAACATCCACATTTATACTGTGTGTTGAAGATTTTTTATGGAGTAAAATTCATCAGAAAATCCATGTCTTTTGTTTGATTGAACCAAAGGTAAGGAATTTGGAGAAAAGGGAAGAGAGAGAAGGTAAGGAAGACGGAATGAGAGAGAGAGAGAGAGAGAAATTCTCCAAGTGGGCAGAGGCAGTCAGAATAAGACTGGGAGAGAGAACAGATCTGCCTCCATTTCCTGGCTTCAGATATTCCTGAGCCGCAACTCAGTCCTTGCATTCCCTGGGGGCCCCTGGATCCTTTCCTCACCTTCCCATTTCCAAGCTGGGTCTGTTATTGCCACGGCCTCCGCTGGACCTTATCTCCTCAGCCCCTTCTCCCACTGATATTCCTCTCTGCACCAGCACCACCCTTTTCCTTCCTGCCTCACACGCTCCACAGAATTTTTCTTTCAGCGCCTCCTAGTTTCCTGGATTATCTAAGATATAAGACATTCTTTCCTTTTTTTTTAAACATCTTTTCCCAGCCCAAAGCACATTATATCCCAAAGATTCAATTCTGTTGCACCAGCAGATGTACCTACCAATCCATTCAAGTAGACATTTAGCTCAGGATCGCAGTTTCCTGTACCCGAGATGTTTCCGTCTTCCCTGCATTGGCACTTCTACTCTTTTTTCTACACAGAAAACTCTGACAGAGCCTTGTCCTCCATTAGATGATTTTTCTAATCTCAATAACATTGGGCTTCTGTGTGGTCAAATTCCAAAACTATACAAAAGGAGAAACTATCCAACTTACAGGATTTCTTTCCTGCCCTTGGGTAACCAATTTATTGGGCATCTTAGTGTGACCCATGTGAGTTTTTTTATGAGTGATTCTAATCCCCAGTCCCTTGAGCTGTTGACAATGACAGAGGTGGCAAATGCCTGGGAAAGAGAGGAGCTGAGAGTATCTGGGCAAGAGAGAGTAGACGGACGACAAAGGGAAGAGGGTCTTTCAGATTGATTCTCCCCAGAGGTCAATGCCAGGTAGTACGAAGTGCCTGCTAAATTGTTCCTACCTGCCAGAGGGCTGTTTTCATGGGTTCCATCAGATTCCTGGACAATCGCAGAATATTCTGGAAAGAGAAAGGGTCTTCTAGGGCCCTTTCTTTATTCTCCTTCATCCACTTACCTCAACTAATTTCCTTATGTGCTTGTTGATGACTGTGGGGTCTGGCTTTGGCATCACCCCTAATGCCCACTCCAGGGGCACCACAGGCTTGTTGGGTGTCGTAGGGGAGGTAGGTTGCTGATAAAAAAAAAAAAACACATATGTTTCAATTATATCATTATTATTATTATTATTATTATTATTATTTTGAGACAGGGGCTGGCTCTGTTGCCCAGACTGGAGTGCAGTGGTGTAATTTTGGCTCACTGCAACTTCTGCCTCCTGGGCTCAAGCCATCCTTCCACCTCAGTGTCCCAAGTAACTAGGACTACCGGAGTGTGCCACCATGCCCGACTAACTTTTGCATTTTTAATGCAGGTGGGGTTTCACCACGTCGTACAGGCTATTCTCTAACTCCCGGGCTCAGGCAGTTCTCCTGTCTCAGCCTCCCAGACTGCTGGGATCACAGGCATGAGCTACCATGACGGGCCATATTTTTCAACATTAACTGGGGCCTTGAGCAACTAGGGCCAGGGATACTGAGAAGAATGAGTAAGTTTTGTATATTCATAATACCAGTAGAAACTGACATTTATGTAGCTTTTTATGCTTTAAATGCTTATAAAGCAAGCATCTTTTGTTACTGAAATCTAATCTGTAACTAAATACATGTTTGGATACTGCCTTTTGTTTAATAGCAACTTAAATTCTATTATTTTATTTTTATTATTATTATTTTTCTTTGATACAGAATCTCACTCTGTTGCCCAGGCAGGAGTGCAGTGGTGTGATCTTGGCTCACTGAAACCTCCACCTCCTGGGTTCAAGCAATTCTCCTGCCTCAGCCTCCCGAGTAGCTGGGATTACAGGTGCCCGCCACCACGCCAAGCTAATTTTTAAATTTTTAGTAGAAACGGGTTTCACCATGTTGGACAGGCTGATCTTGAACTCCTGACCTTGTAATATGCCCATGTCAGCCTCCCAAATTGCTGGGATTACAAGTGTGAGCCACCACACCCAGCTCTCAATCTTATTATATAATGTTTATTTACTAAGAGTTTGCCATCTATTAAATGAGACACCATCCAATGTGACATCCAAATTCTGAGTTGAATTGATGGTCAGCAGAGAAATCTGTAAGTTATCATCAAGATATTTAAAATTTTAAATCTAATTTTACGTTGAATGGAGCTTTTCTAAAGCCTGAAAGGGTCCAAATGATCTTTAACATTAAGATGAGTTATTATTCTTTTCCTTTTTTTTTTAGGTCCTATGTGTGTTGAGTTCTTAGCAGGAACACAATAAATAGGAGATCAATTGTAAAACAGAGTAATGAGAATGACGTTCTTCCTCTTTATTTGCCTCTGGTATGAAGACATAATTCTCAAACTGTCAGGGCTAAGCTGTCCCACTGATAAAATGGGAATAATGTCAATTTTTAAATTCTTCCATTTTAGAACATAAAGCAACACTGTAATAGACAATTACTGTAAATAACAAAAAAATAGTGACTGACACCGATCCTTAGAGAGAAAATTATACCTACCGATTTAGAATTTCTAGGCTCCAGCACCAGTGACAGTTTGTAAATATCATCTTCGGTGTGATAGAGGTCCAGGGAAAGCTACAACAAAATTAAAAGGGATAAATATGTTGGATTACCTTTATTTATTTATTTATTTATTTACCTTGCTGAATTTTTCAAGTTGAATGTTTAAGTTCACTGTCTAATACAGTAATTTGAGTAAATGCAGAACAATAAAAAGATGGTATGCAGAGATGGAAAATGAAATTTAAAAGAGAAAACATTAATATCATTTATCATCAGTATTGACCAGAACCATAAACTCAATTCCTCAGCAATATTTACTGAGCAGCTCCCAGATGCTCAGTGCTGAGTCACAGATGAGGGAGACCTGCTGTTTCCAGGCCGGAAGCAAGGACAGATGCAAACAATAAGACTTATAAGTGTAATAAATGCTGCCTTCAAGGTTCGATTAAAGACTGTGAAAATAAAGGTGCAATTAACTAGTTTCCTATTATTTGAGAGCATGGTGCTAAGCCCTGGTGAGGCAAGCTGATATAAAATCATTTCTTGCCCTCCAGGACCTGATAATTTATTTGAACCTAAAAAGATGTGTTCATAGCAATAAAAGACAGCACATGCTTAGTGTGAAGTAGTTGCTCCACTTAAGTGCTCCAGGAATCAGTCAGGAATCAGGGAGGCAGCATAGTAAGTACAAGAGATCAGAGGCTGTATAGTCAGTCAGGGCTGGGTTCAAGCATGGAGCCTGCCACTGGCTTGCTCTGTAACCTTTAGCAAGTCATTTCCTCTCTGACACTTATTTTCTGCGTCTGGAAAATGGGAATGATCATAAAAGTCCTTACTGAGTTGGCTTTATATCAGGACCAAATGAAATAATGCATGTAAAGTATTTCACACAGGACCTCAGTAAAATCTCAAGGAGTGTTATTGTGCCGTGTTAATGTTACTGTTATTATTGCATGTGTTATTAGTCATATTATTATTATGCATAGGGGCCACTGGAGACTGAAATGATCAGGACAGATTCATGGAGGTCCTTGTGAGCTGCGACTTAACCAGGAGGATTGGGACTTAATTTGGACAAGAGAAAGAGGAAGGTCACTGTAGGCAAGGACAACAACACAGATCCAGATTGGAGAACATGGATAAAATCTCTAAAGCCTACAATGCATGTTCCCACTCACCTAAAACAGAAGTCACGAGGCTTAAAATAAGTCTGAACAATTCCTACCCATTCCTTTAAGCTAGGCCACCTGATGAACCACATCACTTCCCCAGCCATGAACATAACCAGTGCTGGCTCCCTCCTTTGACTATGTAGGAATGAAAATTTTCTTTAACATATTTTGTCTAATATGTGTATGAGAATGGAGTGAAAGGGAAAAGAAAGGAGGAAGCAAGAGAAAACTCAGAGGCAAAGATGTTTTCAAAGATTCCTTTTCCTGTTCTACTTCCTTTAAAAAAGAAGTTGGCATCATAAAGTTTCATTTTCAAATAATTCATTCAACAAATATTTATCAGTAATGTACTATGTGCCAGGGACCATTCTAGTCACAATTCTAGCAGCTACTTGAATATAACATTTAAACTAAGGACTTCATAATCAGGTCACATTTCTTTTGTCTGTCTGTACTTTGTCACAAAGTTTTTTTTCTAAACAAAATCAAACTGATTTAACTGTAAAGTTTCCCCAGTATCATTTCAAGATCATGAAAATCTTGCTTACGAAGAAGAGAGATTGTATTTGCCTTCCCCTGAACAGCAATCACTCCTACCTCCCTGAGTCTGCCTTTTTACAGGAAAGGAAACGTCCACATGTCACCAACAAATGCCCTTAGGAGCCAGCCTATTATGTAAAAGAGCAAAGTAGGATGTGCAAAAGGTACATGTTGATAGAGACATTGGTACCAGAGCATCTTATTTGAAAAACAGAATCTTTACAGATGTAATTTATTTAGGGATATTCCCTCTTAGCGCTACAATAAGAAAAATATGTGATGATAAATGGGCCCTAACACCTCTCTCTGTGTTAAGGAAGCAACAGGGAGAGGTGTGGTTTGGGATGAACATCACTACCCAGCGATGGCAAATTGCTGCCAGCCTACCAATGGTCCTCGAGTTTCCAGATTTTCTGATTTGTTAGGAAAAGCCAGGAATCTGCAGTTTTAGAAAAACTATCCCAATTTTTAAACACTGGGAACAACAAAAAATTTTATGCTTCCATGTGGACCAAATAAAATACATCGGCCATGGGCAGTTGGCTACCGTTTTGTAAATCCCACAGCAGACAACTCTGCCAGGCCCCACGCCTCGTGAAAGTGGGCAGCACATCTGTCTTTTGCATCTCTGTACCCCTAGTCCCAGCTTGCGGCCTCGCGCTGTGAAGATGACATAAAGAGAAAACTGAGTGACTCCTTCCTTCTGAATTCCTTGTTATCAGGAGTTAATCCAGACATGTAGGAGCATGTTCCCTTCCTCCTGACTCAGCTTCCAAGTCCCATGATGACCGGTACCAGCATCTGCCGGAGATGACAGCAGCACTACAACGGCCAACCAGAAATCCAAATAAGCCGCTCACTAAGTCAGGGAGATGCTCTTTCGAAAGAAACAGAACATCCGTGGGTATTTCCATGTGTCAAAGAGATAACTGGCTCAGCGATGAAAATGTTCTGGTAGTCTCCAAATATTTGCTCTCTGCTTATTAGTAGTGTGAGCCTGGGCAAGCAATTAATCTTCTGGAGTCTCAGTTTCCTGATCTGTGAAATGGGGATCATAAATAATAGCTGCCTCCCAGGACTGTGGTGAAGATTAAATGAGCGAATGGGTGTCTGACTAGGTTTGTTTAGAAGGTCACAAATGCAGGGTTTGACTTCCAGTCAGTGCAACAGTCAAATGCCACTGTGCTTATCCATGAATGTAAAGCCGCCCTCGTAAATGTAAAGCTCCTGGCATCTCTTCTTTCCCAACCACGATTCCACTTCCTCTCTCTGATCTAATCTGGGCTTTATGGACCTGCCTAAAGAATGATCTGTTCTACTTTCTACACGCATTTTTAATAATACGGGCTGCTCGTCCATGGAATTTCAACATTTGCTTTTGTCCAACATATTTTGAGCCTGGCTGTTTTGTTTTGTTTTCTGACAAATGTTCCAGTCCACTATTTTAGGTTGTTGCATTGACCAACCTATCCTTTCAGCAAAGCTGGCTGCAGATTCAGTCTTCATTAGGATCTGCATGGGCTTGACTGTTTATCACAAAATAAAACACACCTGGACGTCAGACTGCCTCTACTCACCATTTTTGAAACTCTTATTCTTCTTCTTTTTTAAAAATGAGACTAAAATTAAAAATACTGGGGCTTTCCAGTTATTTGCATGTACTCAAAATGGTAAAAGTAACTGATAGGGCTAAAAATACCATGAAGAGATTCAGACTATTTCATATACCACGCAACAGAAGCATCAGTTTTTAAAACTCCAGGTTACGTGAATTGGGATATAAGGGAAATGTTCTCTCCAGATATTTCCTGAGAAGAGGAACGATACAAATCCCAACAGTTTGATGGCATGATCCTCCTCCCCTCAACACGCCTGGTGCTGTTTTCCAGGGGCCAAGACACAATGATAAAAATGACAAGCACAGCCTCCACCCTCATAGATTTTGCCATGCAATTACCTCCTTTACTGCACATCATGAAGAGGTGGAGAGAGCAGTATTAATTTTTACAGATGTGAAATAAAAAATTAGATGTCAGCAGTATGCCCACACGAGAGAGCAAATGTCCATTTGAGGGGAACCCGGCCCAGGCTGGGATGCAGACGTTTACTCCCTGTGTTTGTGAATCTGTTTCTTTCTTTCTTTTTTTTTTTTTTTTTTAAAAAAAAAAGGAAGGATTAAGGGTTATGTTCCACTTGCTGCCCTGCCCAGGGTGCATGGCAGTGCATGTGAGAATTTACTGAGGAAATATATATGAAAAGTGCTGTGGAAATCGTAATCAACTATTACAGAAAGTTAAAGCACTGCCCTGCAGCCTACCACACGGAGTAGGCATTTAATAATTGTTGATGAACTTAAGGGTTCTCTTTTTCTGTCCTCCAGGGCTGTCCCCATATATAGGCAACCTCACTCGAGCCATGTTTCGATGAAAACAAACACTTCGGATGAAAATTTAGAGTCCTAAAATGAATTGGGATATGAGGGAACTGTTCTTATAAATGGGCAAAATGAATCACCCCTTCTGATGCTGGCGTGTGGACGCCTTCACATGCATTGGGGCAGCTGTGGTCAGCCATATGGTTCTAATCCAGATGTGTGTGGCTTCATAGAGAACATTGCCCTTATATCCCAAGGGAGAGAAGCCTCCTCGGTCCCCATGTTGAGGACATTAACTCCCCAGGAGTCAGGAAGCATGAATATATACTGCTATACACTAAACTTTTTTTTTTTTTGAGAGGGAGTCACTCTGCAAGCTCCGCCCTCTGGGTTCAAAAATTCTCCTGCCTCAGCAGGAGAATCCTGAGTAGCTGGGATTACAGGCATGTGCTACCATGCCTGGCTAATTTTTATATTTTTAGTAGAGACAAGGGTTCACCATGTTGGTCAGGCTGGTCTTGAACTCCTGACATCATGATCCACCCACCCTGGCCTCCTAAAGTGCTGGGATTACAGGCGTGAGCCACCACACTTGGCCTGCACTAAACTTTCTTCGTAGCTGTGGGGAGAGAGAAAGGATCTTGGTTCGATGTTTGGTGACTCATATACAGGACTGTGCTATCGTGATGCGCTATTGGGCTGGTACCACAGAATCAGGTTGACTCTTGCTTCCTTATGCTCAAGGCTCCACCGATTCTTACATCTAGAATCCTAGAAGTTTAGAGCTGGAAAAGACCTCACAAATGAGCACAAAACGCTTATTTAAAAAAAAAAAAGCCAAAGTCAAGGCTGTTAACAGGGAGACAAAGCCAAGCGACTACAGAGGCAAGGCTGAAAGCAAGGTCTGACATCTAGGATTTTGCCACTACGCTATGCTACCCAACACTGCAGTTACTAAATATGGCGCTTGATGGCTTCTAAGTTTTCCTTCAGTATGAGAGAGAGAAAGATTCCTTCCCAGCAAAAAGGAATTTTTTTCTTAACTTTTATTTCTAGAGTTCAGATTTTTTTCATTTGTACTCCTGAAATTTTATTGAAAACCCTTCAATGTTTCTCTAAATATCCCCCTCCCCGCTTTTTTTTTTTTTTTTTTTGGGAGACAGAGTCTCCCTCTTTTGCCTAAGCTGGAGTGCAGTGGCACGATCTCGGCTCACTGCAACCTCCATCTCCCAGGTTCAAGCGATTCTCCTGCCTCAGCTTCCCAAGTAGCTCGGATTTCAGGCAGGTGCCACCATGCCTGGCTAATTTTTGTATTTTTAGTAGAGACAGAGTTTCACCATGTCGGTCCGGCTGAGTCTTGAACTCCTGACCTCGTGAGCCGCCTGCCTTGGCCTCCCAAAGTGCCAGAATTACAGGCGCAAGCCACCACGCTCAGCCTAATATTACTCTAAAAATCTCTTTGTCATAACATTGCTTGTTTCATTTATAACTCAAAATTAATTTCCCTACCTCATTACTATCTTTTATCTCTATGAGAAATTGCCCAAGGGTAGGCACCTGCTCTCTGAAGTTATGCATACTTGACATCGTGGACAGCCTGGACACAGACACAGGAAGCCTAGGCTCCACGTGGAGACCAGTCTGCAGACATCCCCTGTGGCTGTGGGTCTGTAGTCTAATTGGAGCTATAACTCTGGTCACTTATTAATGGAAACTGATTTACATGGCAAATGATTAATAAATGCAGGTGCTTAGATTATTCTGAGTTGTGTTTCCCGCCCCCAGTAGAGAAAGTCTGTGTTTTTACTATTTGTCATAAAAACTCAAAAGAGATCTATGTTTCTGTGTGTTGGCCACTTCTGCTTTGTTTGAAGGGTATGGCTAGCATTATTGCCTACACTTAGAGGGAGATATATATATATATATATATATATATATATATATATATATATATATATTTTTTTTCTCTTTGTTTCGTTTTTAGGAGGAGTCTTACTCTGTTGCCCAGGCTGGAGTGCAATGGCACAATCTCAGCTCACTGCAATCTCTGCCTCCTGGGTTCAAGTGATTCTCCTACCTCAGCCTCCCAAATAGCTGGGACTACAGGTGCACACCACCACGCCCAGCTAATTTTTGTATTTTCAGTAGAGATGGGTTTTCACCATGTTGGCCAGGATGATCTTGATCTCTTGACCTCGTGATCCACCCTCCTCACCCTCCCAAAGTGCTGGGATTTCAGGCAAGGGCCACCACACCCGGCCAGAGGTCTATTCTTTGGTAAACAATTACATGCTCTAGAAATAGTTTGTGAGAAGGGTGAGAAAACACACTCCTATTCCAATGTAGCAGTCCTAGGTGACTTAAAATGTCAGAAATTGAGAGGAGTTACTGGTTTCATTTTCCACAGCCATAAAAGGAAAACAGTTAATTCAGTATTGCAGCTGAGTTTCAGATGCTACAGTGTTACAAACCTAAACGAGGAAGTGGCAGTCTACTTTTGTTTAAGGAAAGGCGAGAGAACAAATTTGGTTATGCTGCTTCTTCCCACAAAGCAGCAGCCAATGGGAAACATTCTCTTCTATACACCTGTTGTGTCTAAACGTTCTAAGATAGGACCCAAAGACCATCTAAATACATATGCTACAAATGCCAAAAAAGTATGAGTGGTAGGTGAATTTCTTTTGTCTAAGCCACATCACTCCTAAATACAGCATGCAGTTCATTTATTGAGTTCCTAAATATGCCAGGAACTGTGAGAGGTGCTAGGGATATGATCTGTAAGGCAGATAAACAGAAAAAGAAATTGCTTACAAAGTGATACCTTCTATAGTTAAGGAAAATATAAAGTGCAAGGGCAACATGTAACAGATGCATGACTGCTTTGGAAAGGGGAAGAGAATGCCCCAGAAGGACGGGCTTTTGAATTTGAACTCAACACATGAATGGGTAAGGATGGGATGCTCCAAGAAAGTGCAAAGGCCAGGAAGCAGCAGGCAGCATTTCATGGTGGAAAGTACAAGAAGTTCAATATTTCTCAAAGACTGGTAAAATGTGGGAGAGGGTGATGGCAAACAAGGCTGGGCTGATGGTCGGAGACTGAGTCTTGAAGAACCTTGAATGCCGGACTGTAAATCACATCCTGGGGGTTTGGGAGGTTCATTGTGGGAACAGGAAGATCACGTAGAAGGTCCTTGCACTACTACAGGCTTCAGCCAAAGCAGTGCAATGAGGATAAAGAGGAGCAGATGACTGCAGGACACAGAGAAGAATGTGATGAGTTGGATGAATGTGGTGAAGGAGAACGAGGGCTGAGACAGAGTCTGGAGGAGTCTCTCTAAGAACTCCAGAAGTGGAGCCATCTGGCAGAGACTGGGCCCCTCTGAACAAAGATAGATTTCTTTGCCCCAAGATTTGCCAGTTATGGAAAATATTAACCATGGTGCCTTTTCCCTTGTCCTATGAGATTTCCTCTCATCTATTGACTCTGAAAACAATTTTCCCCCAGAATGACTTGCGGGCACACATCGTCCTTTGTCTCCTGCAGAAGAGTTATTAAGCCCAAACTTGGCTCCTTGGAACTCACCGTGAGCAGGTTGATCAAATCCATGTTGGGTTCTAAGTGGTGAGAGGCATTCTGCAGGGAGACTAGTTCACTCAGGGTAACGGAGAGCTGGTGCATTTTCACAATGTTCACTTTGTTCTCCTCCATCCAGTCTGGGAAAATGACATGGACTGCTATCAAGTCTTTCAAGTGTACTCCAAGGATGGGGATTTTGAAGCCATCACAGTCAGCAAAGGCCTTGCGGTAATTGCAGTAATTGCCGTTGGAGGAGACCAGCTCTGTCATTTCATTCCAGTTCTGGGAACAGATGGAAAAGTAGAATTTTCAAACAACTTTCCCTTCTGCACACCCCCAGGCCCTGCAATGCATGGCTAGGAAATTCCTCAGCTACTGAGAAAAGTATCACTTGCACCAGCGTTGATGCAGGGAAATATGAATCAGGAAAAAGAAAGTTAGAAAAACATACTAGGCCTGGCTATGCCTTGAGCAGCCTGTTCCATTTTGTTATAAAACGGAAACAGCCTACACGCCTGCCTACCTACTGGGATGTTGTGATATTAAATGGCATCATGTACAGTTAGATGTTTTGGAATTTATGAAAATGTTACTGTCCACAAATTGAAGCATGTTGAGTATTAAAAATTTTTTAGTTGTTCCAAGAAAGTTGCATTCCAGATATTACTTGAGGTTAATCTAGGAGAGTATGGGGTAGAGAAAGTTGCAATGTGGGGTGAGATAGCTGTGATTCTATATTCTGCCTAACTAGAAGAGTGACTTTGAGCAAGTTGCTTCAGTTTTTTTGGGCCTCAATTTCTTTCTCTGTTAGTCAGAGAAGTTCCCACGAATAATTTAAAAAGATACACTGGTAGTTCTCCAAGCCTCTATAAGCTTCTATCAGATTCTTATTCTTCACATTTAAAATTTGGTTTTGCTTTTTACTTGAGATTTGGTACAAAGCTAAAAGAAAATGAAGTACTTATTACATAATAAGTCCCATTCTACTTGGAATGAGTAAGAGTATGAGGTCAAACAATGGTACTTCTGTGGCTTACTTCCTCTTGTTTATGTGGACAAGTTATCGATGGATACTTCACAGCAACTAGACCTTTTTAGTAGATCCCAATTTTGATTAGTTTACTATCTCCCAAAGCAGCCTACGTGACTCAGACAGAGCTGTTTCCATATCCAGGACCAAGAATGAGTTCTGATTTCTCATCAGTGTAATTGCATCCCTCTAGTTTGTGATTGGTTCAGGAACTCAGGGTTAAGCCAATCAGTACATTGTATTCCTCTGGCAACCATTATTGGTCCAGGGATGGACCTAAGGCCTGAGATGGCTCAAGAGGTCTTTAATTCTATGGGTGAAGAGTTGAAGTAAGATGTCTTCCCTATCTTCAACTTTCATTATTTCAAATTACGAACAAGGGAACATAATTTTTTGGTTGCTACAGACAGCCCAATCAGGAGAGAAACCAGTTTGATGAAATAAACAAACAAACAAAACTCCCTGATACTCAGAGGCAGGCAGAGCGCCTGAGTCAGAGCTCTGAACAGACCATGCTGGCTCCTTCTGGACTTCCAGGTATGTCCCGCAGGGTGGAGTGCAGTGGTGTGAGCATGGCTCACTGCAGCCTCAAACTCCTGGGCTCAAGCAAACATTCCACCTCAGCCTCCCAAATAGCTGGACTGCAGGCACACACTACCGCACCAGACTAATTTGTTTTTTGTAGAGACAGGATCTGCTATGTTATTTAGGCTGGTGTCGAACTCCTGGCCTCAAGCAATCCTCCCACCTCCACCTCCCAAAGTGCTGAGATTACAGGTGTGAGTCACCACTCCTGACAGACAATACATTTCCTTATTGTTTAATTACTGTAGAAGATTTTTTATTTTTCTTTTAAACTCACAGCTAGATGTGTCCTGAAATGGCAAAGCGCACTCTTACATGAGAATCTTTTCATGAAGATTCATCCTTATAAAATGTTCGTTTTTGCTCAAGAAGAAACACAACTATCATGTCATGAAAATAAATATAGTAGAAAAGCTCAGTTTGTAAAATGATCACTCTTTTTAATATCTAATATATACTTTTTCATGACAATTCAGCTGTAAATTTGAGGATTTCTATACAAGGCCTATGTCTTCCCCTTCTTTCTATCTTCTGATGTGCCCAACACAGTGTCATGAATAGAGTAGTCATTCAATGGCTTTATTTCAGGAGGTAGGCTAGGGACTATTCCTGTCTTTTTTTTTTTTTTTTTTTTTTTTGAGACAGAGGTTTTTTTTTTTTTGCCCAGGCTGGGGTGCAATGGCAAGATCTCAGCTCACCGCAACCTCCACCTCCTGGGTTCAAGAGATTCTCCTGCCTCAGCCTCCCAAGTAGCTGGGATTATAGGCATGTGCCACCACACCTGGCTAATTTTGTATTTCTAGTAGAGATGGTGTTTCTCTATGTTGGTCAGGCTGGTCTTGAACTCCCAACCTCAGGTGATCCACCTGCCTCGGTCTCCCAAAGTGCTGGGAATACAGGCGTGAGCCACCATGTCTGGCCTATTTCTTATTTACCTTGTGTATCACAGTGCCTATCACATAACAAGGACCAAATAGATATCTGTTGAATATTTACCACTACAATATGTTAACGGTATGTCAAAGCATTCTTCCTGGGACACTTAGCACCACCTCCAACCTGTTTTTGCAGGTGGACTTAGCTGGTGTGGCTACTCTTTTTACTTCGTCCCCATGTATAACTACCATTGGTTTAAAAGGAAAACTTTCCGACTCTGAGTGACAGTTGTTAGGCATATGCTAAACTTGACCAATTTACAAATGCATTTTTTACTTTTGATTAGAATCAAATCTACTATACCTTTGTAACTTCTGAAGAGAGATGAGAATGGGTCTCTTTGAGGCGTGAAATGGAACTATGACTGAGGCCTCCCACCACTGCCATCAGGGTGTTAAAATTTTTGAGCTGAAGGAGCTTCTGCAATTAAAATGCATCAATACTTTTTAAGGATTTCTGAATTATTCTAAACTTTCTGAATTACAAGTAAATGCATGCACAATTTTAATAACAAGGACCTAAGGGAAAAAATTACATTAATTTAGAAGGATGCACAAATAGAATCAGAGAAATATATCTGTTATTTCACAGAAAAATAGCTACATTAAATGCTTCTAAGCATTACTTTTTGAAAGCAAATCTTCTTGCATGGCAGAAATATGATTTGTTCATTAGACATCAGCAAGTCTGATGCCCTTGTACTGTGATCACATTTCCTCAATGACTTTTCTCAGTAGAGTAAATGAACATCTAGAACTCAAGAACCCCAGTCTGATTACCAGACATACCTTTGCAACATTGATAAACTTTGTGATAACTTCTGCCCTTTGCTGGGGGGTTGGCTTGCTAAGAACCATCAACTGGACCCACTTAGAGATTCCATTAAATAAAGCAATAGATCTTTCCAAGGTTGGATTATTCTCCAGGCAGCCATGGATGACATAGCTTTGGTAATCAGTGAACTAGGAAAGGAAGATTCAGAGATTCTGAATTAATGGAGCCTTTGTAAAATCAAAAATTATAATATTGCATAGAAGAGGTGAGATATTGTTTCGTAACAGAACAATTTCACATTTAAAATGGCATCCTACAAGTTTGAATATACATGTGCCTTTAAAATATTATTTTGCTGCTTTTCAAACCCCACTTCTCATCCTACGCACAGACACCCACTACCATACATCACAGTGTCGGTTAGAGGAGAAAGGGGCAAGATTCAAAGTCTTATTCCAATGAGTTCAAAATTTACTGGTTCATAAGATCCACCGGTGGCACTCAATAAAATGCTGGCTCCTAGGAACACCCTAGGTATAAACAATCACTGTCTCCAGGAAAAAAAAAAACTTAAGAATTTCCAATTTTAACACACTGCTGGTGATTCCAATCAGGCAAGTTAAAGATACAATGGCATACAATAAAGACGAGGATATGAACATAAATGTAATGATTTCAAATTAGCATAAGTTGTAAAGTTATTTCAAGAAAAAGAAGACAGAGGGAAAAAATTCAGTTGAAGTAAGACTGCAAGACAAACACATTTTCAGAATGTTAGCATGGATGTCAAGAAATACGTAAAAGCCTTCTATCATATAAACAGTGCAGGGGACTCCCTCCCATGGTCTGCCTGCAGGGAATCGTTAAGGTCCTCTCCAAGTAGGATTACTTAGTGAAAGAATCAGCCTTTCAGAAATTCATGCTTCGAACCAAGATGGCCTTCTTTGCAAGCAATAATGTAATTCATTCTCTGACACCTTGGAAAAGGAGGAGTGACTTCCACAGAGCTTGGCGAGACAAAGCAAAGTGGCTGGCTGATTGTGAACCAATGTGGAAAATGTTATCATAACAGGAGGCTAGAGAGCAGGAGGCTAAGAAATCACAGACCAGAGAAAGAAAAGGGGGAGTTAGGGAAGGAATGAGGCTCCATCAAGATGAGTAGGAAAGAAAAGTTTAATTCAGGATCTCTATCGCTGGGAAAGAAACAAGCTGATGTTGAGATTCTCCTTAAAGTTGACAATTCCTGTTTTCAACCTACACCCATAATTAGCCATTTATACAAATCTGAACCTAACTAAATATATTTTCCCAAAAACGAAGGGCCTAGCAAAACATGTTCATTTGGGAGAAGTCAATGGAGCTAAATCAACCTTGAATGGTTAAATCTCCACTGAGCATTTAGAAAAATCACTCTTTAATCCTATGAAAGGAGACATTGAAAATAGCGACAGAAATATAGCTCCCGAGCCATAAAATAAAGACAGGATAATATTTATCTTTGGTTAAAAGGGATTGTTCCTATGAATTAAGGGCACTTTTCCAGCAGAGCACAGTGATAGGAGCTGCCAACACTTCGGAGTATGAAAATGCAGCTCTTGGGAAAGTTGGCATGGTGGTTGTTATCCTTGGAAGAATAAATGTCAAGTTTCTTACTGAGATCCTTCTAAAAGATTTATGCTCCAGAAAAGTGAGGTGCTCAGCCAATTCAATGGGCTCCAGATGGTCAAACAGCAGACAGGCTTTTCCCTTCTTGGATACTTTTTTCCTCTGTGTGACTCTTCTCATCCAGTCATAGGAAGGACTAAAAAGAAGAGTGAGTCCGGTCAATGTGTTGAAAGCCCATTTCACTCAATGGAAGTTATTAACCTACTGACTCTGTAACTCTTGGCTTGCTTCCAGGGGCTTGTGCAAAATACATGCCATCTTTCATATTTGAAGAGAAAACCACTGACCAATTGCCAATAGAACATAAATTTGGAGTTGTTTTTCCAGACAGAGTAAGTTTTGCACTGATCCATCCAGAATCTCTTGTTTAGTCTCTTTGTGACCAGCAAGGTCTGGATCATAAAGGAAAGGTCACGGCTACTATATATAAATTTGGGAGTTTATCAGGATATAGTTGATGATTTAAGGCACATGAAAACCAGTAGAAGCTGTGGTTCTCACACTTCAGTATAACATGAATTATCTGAAAAGCTTGTTATAAAGACAGAGGCCTGGACCTCACTGCTAGAGATTCTGATTCATTAGGAATGATCCTAAATAATATGTATTTTCACCAAACATCCCTTTTAATTCCTGGATCATTCACTATTGATTACTATTGAAGAAGCATTCAATAGTAATCAACAGCGGAAAACAGAGTAGAATATGAATACCTAATACACAAGAACATACATTTGCAAGATGGATAACCATATTTAGGATCATCAAATAGTTTTCCCTGTGCAAAGTTACCTAGTTGATATGAAAGTGGCCTAATTGCACCAGTTATCTAATAACTAAGCTAACCAGCTCCTCACATCTATGGTCAACCACCATAAGGCTGTTGTTCTGAGGCCAACCTCAGCAGCACCATGGTAGAGGGCTTCTCAAGCTTGCATGTGAATCACTTGGGCATCTTTAAAGTGCAAATTCCAATTCAGCTTTAAGGCGGGGCTTAGAGGCTGCATTCCTAATGAGCTCCCAATGCTGCTGGTCTGCAGACCACACTTTGAGTAGAGAAGGCGTACGAGACATCAACTAGATTCTGACTCAGTAACTAATACTGAGCATCTATTGTGTGCCAAATGCTTTCATGCGCTATCTTATGTACTTATTGGATGTTTATAGTAATCCTATGAGAAAGGTACTGTCCACATTTTGTAAATAAAGAAACTGCAGCTTGGAGAGATGCGTTGTGTCCAATATGGCTTGAGCTCACTGCAGCAAGGCTTTGCTCACAGAAGCAAACCTGGATTCAGGAATGGGATGGACTCAGGACAAGTTGGGTGATCACTACCTCCTCCCCTACAGCAGTGGACTCATCAAGTAAGAAAGACGTTGGTGCCACTCTTACATGCTGGATATGTCGATGAGGCTGACGTGTTTTTCATATCCTAGTTGACTAGCTACTTCCCGGAATTCCTCAGTCATGCGAACCAATCCAAGATCCAAATTAAACTCTGCAGGAAACTTCAGAATCCAGTACCTGAAAGGCATCAAATATTTTTGGCAGCTGGAAGATTTCAAGTTGGATATCTGTGGAAACGATTGTACCGTTTTACAGACTACATTTAACACCAAACCTGGGACCGTCCAGGACCATACTTCAAATTAGCCATCTCCTGTCTCTAAATCCGCATCCATCACATGGAGCCTCTCTCTGCCCTTCTTCAATCTAAAACCACTCCCATTCATAGCCCCTCTTTCGGTTGAGAGGAAACCTTTCCTTCAATTAACAATGAGTAGGTGGGAATGCGTGTGGTGAGGGAGTAGAAGAAACTAAATCCACCCTTTCTAAGAGCTAGTTTCATTCCCTAATCACATTTACTATTACTTGATCTCTAGTCCAGAAGATAAAATCTCCCCCACACCACCCAACAGAGGAGGACCAATTTTAACAAAGTTGGTGGGAGGGGTGTCAGAGTGGATGCTTCTGTCAAACTAGGTCTGCAGCTTGGGGAAAAGGAAATTATCAACAATTCCAGAACTAGAAACTACAACTGTGCCAGAACCAGAAGCTATAAGACATTAAATTTGTAAATATATTTACCTCATGAAGTAGCAGATCTTTAATCGAAATTCATTGCAGCTTTCTCCACTGGCATTTCGATACGTAAACCAGTTAAAGAAAAAATCCTTGCACCTTGTTTCCTTTGCACATACCTGTAGCTGTGTCCTCAATTTATCAAATTCCTAATAAGAGGACCATAGTAGGGACATTCGGGTTATATGGACACTCAAATACGGAGAGAAGTGGCCTCTGATGACTTCAACACTGAACAATTGAAACCTGAATTAGTTTTGCTTTTCTCCACGCTTATTAACCAATAACTGCCAACTGTAATTACAAATAGATTGGCAACTATACATAATTAAAATTGACAGTACAGAGAAATGCTACTTTAACCAAAAAGATTTTGTATTTAGAATTAATGCCTTATACAGTTATGCACCACATAACAATATTTCAGTCAGTGAAGGACCGCATATACGACAGTGAATTGAAAAATTCCTGTTGCCCAGTGACATGGTAGCCAGCATAATGTTGTAACCCAATGCATCACTCATGTGTTTGTGGTGATGATGGTGTAAACCTACTGTTCTGTGAGTCATATAAAAGTCTAGTGTATATAGTTATGTACAGTATATAATACTTGATGAGAATAAATGACTGTTATTAGTTTATGTACTTACTATACTATTTTTATTGTAATTTTAGAGTACTCCTTTTACTTCTGTAAAAGAATTAAAAAGTTAAATATAAAACAGCTTCAGTCAGGTTCTTCAGGAGCTATTCCAGAAGAAGACATTGTTATCCTAGGAGATGACAGATCCATGCATGTTACCACCCCTGAAGACTTTCCAGTGGAGCAAGAGACGGAGGTGGAAGACAGTGATGTCGATGACCCTGAGCCTCTATAAACCTAAGCCCAGGCTAATGCGTGTGTTTATGTCTTTGCTTTTAAGTTTAAAAAGTTTTAAAAAATTTAAATAGAAAAAGGTTATAGAATAAAGAAAGAAAATATTTTTGTACAGCAGTATAATATGTTTGTGTTTTAAGGTGTGATTACAAAAGGGTTAAAAAGTTTTTAAAGGTTTATAAAGTATAAAAGTTACAGTAAGCTAAGGTTAATTTATTATTGAAGACAGACAAGTATTTTTTATAATTTGGTGTAGCCTAAGTGTATTTTGTCTATAAAGTCTACAATATTGTGCAGTAATGTCCCAGGCCTTCACATTCACTCACCGCTTACTGACTCGCCCAGAGCAGCTTCCAGTCTTACAAGCTCCATTGATGATTAATGCCCTATATAGGTGTACCACTTTTTATCTTTTATACTGTATTTTTGCTGCACTTTTTCTATGTTTAGATGCACAAATACTCACAATTGTGTTACAATTGCCTATAGAATTCAGCACAGCACCATGCTGTATAGGTTTGTGGCCTAGGATTAATAGGCTGTATCGTACAGTCTCGGTGTATAGTAGGCTACAGCATCTAGGTTTCTGTAAGCACACTCTATGATGTTTGCAAAATCATCTAATGATGAATTTCTCAAAACGTATCCCTATGGTTATGCTATGTGTAACAGTAAGGGTACTCTAATTTCTGCTTTAATATTTGAAAATGTCATTTTCAGGTATATTAGTACTCAAGTTGTGTTATTTACTTGTAAGTCTATTTAGTCATACTCCTTTTGACAGATGTATATTGAGCTTGTGTATATGCCAGGCACTGGATACAGCGTGAGCAAGGAATCCAAAGGGAGGAAAGTTTAAAGAAATATCAATTCATAGGTAGTCTTCACCTTTCCTACATTAAACATTACTATGCCTAAACATCCCTTTTTATCTGTGTCTCATGCATTGGTGGCCATGCTAAGGGTGAGAACGCTGTTGATGGCACATTCTTTGGACAATGTCTAGATTGTCAAGAGTATGGCCAGACTGAGTCAATGCCCTCCATCCTTACCTATGTTCTACACCTCAACAGTGGACTCATATAACCCTTGGACCACTGGGGACTAGGATCTTGTTCACTTTCACAGACCTTATAGACTCTCTAACATCCCTTTCTGCTCTGAGATTGTGAGGAGAATGAAGAAAAGAAGTAGAAAGTGGAGGAAGCTTGAACTGAACAGGTGAATACCCTACTAACTCCAGAAGCCTTGGCAGGCCCTAATAACACTCGATGGTACCTCTCCCTTTAAGGCCTCCCCCTCCGCTGTAGGGGTTATCACTCATCTCCAGGGCCTCATGGGCTTGAAGAAGGCAAAGACTGCAGGAACCAGCATTAGAGATTATATAATAAGCATTGGCTCTCAGGGAATAGAACCTTTTACAAGTGGGAGACTGCATTTTCAGTCATTTGGCTTTCAACCACTTTTCAGGACTGCATGATATACAGAAGTAGTAGGCTGCTAAAAGCCCTCATTATGGAATGGCATTTTTAACCATGGGATTTATGTTTTTGTTTGTATTTCAGAAGAAAATCTAAAATTAGTGTCAGTCAACAAATCATAATAAACTTGCTAGAATGTTCATTGTGTCTTGGCAGCAAGGGGAGATGTGAAAACTAAATTGATGTTTGTTCCCAAGCAAGAGCATCTTATTTTGGCTGTATTTCCACATGATTAAGCTGCATCCTCTATGCCCACCATTTTGTCATCCCAGAAGAAATAAATTTGGTCTTGAATCATTGTTAAATATTCTCTCATTGCTCTAACAACAGAAGTGTTTAAGACAAGTTAGAAACATCCATCCTACAGTTCCTGCTTCATTTTACATCTTAGTGATTATCTTCAAGTACAGCCAAAACATCCAGATGGAGAGTTAACTCTCTGGTCTATCATCCAGCTATGTTTCGCCTAGACATCTATATATATTCACAAAACAGCTGGATAACCAAAGACTATTTATTCATCTTAATTTACTGGCTTTGGATAGACACTCTATCTAAATACAAAGCTTGATTTATGATTGTAAAAATTACACAGTAGTTGAAAAGATATATGCAGAGAAGTTTTTCTGCCAATTCAGTGGAAGATAAATACCATCGGTGCATCAGTAGAACTATTCTTGGCAAATAACTGTTATTCAGCTCTCCATTGTCATCTGTTAAAAAAATAGAACAAGAAGTGAAGAGATAACAGTGCTATTCTGTACTTTTTCTAACATCAATAGAGAAGCGTTAGGGTCAAAAATTGTTCATAGAACAATGATCTTTGACTTCCTACTTCGGCTAGTATTTCCTTGCAAGTAAAGGTATGTGGGTCTTACCCTTCCTCTGGTCTACAGTTGACAGATTTAATAAATAAAAATACAGGACACCCAGTTAAATTTGAATTTAAGAGAAACAATGGTTAATTTCTTCAGTGTAAGTATGTCCCAGGCATTATTTAGGTCACACTTACACTAAAAATGTTTGTCAGAAATTCAAGTGTAACTGGCCATCCTGTATTTTACCTGGCAACCTTGCTCTGGTTTAACTCTGGTTTCTATAGTAATCAATTCAATAAATAACTAATCCTCATGTGAGTTGACTTTCTTTGTGCAAGGGATAATCCAGAATTCGGAGGCAGATATGAAAACAACACAGCAAGGGATAATCCAGAATTCTGAGGTGGAAATGAAAACACCACCACAAGGAGCATACGGCTGTAAAGTCTATAATCTAGTAGCAGATACGACATGTATGAATGTAGGATGCAGTAAACTGTGCTACTCACATTCATCTGAGACAAAAGAACAAGAAACAATCACAGAGGCATATGCCATATGCTATCAGGAATTACAATGGGTTGTGGGGTTGGGGAAGAGGCAAGCAGCATTCCTGATCAAGGAGACTAGGAGTGGTATTATGGACATCTGAGACGGCCCTGAAGCAGAATTTCAATGAAAGGAATATGACCAATGCATGGTGGTAGAAAGGTGCGGGGAATGTTCCAGAAACATTAAGTGGACAGTTGGACTGCAGTATGGGCTGTGGGCAGTAAAGGGAAAGAAATGCGAAGGGCAGTGAAACTGGAGAGACAGACTGGGGTCAATCCAAAAGGCCTTAAATACCAAGGTACAGAGACTGAACTCTGTTCCACAAGCAACTTGCCTCTGAATAGAGGAAAGCGAGAGCATCGAGATACCCAAAAGAGATGAAAGGAGAAAAGGATCATACCAAACATCTCAATGCAAGTGCGCAGCAGTTCATCTAATGTTGCTGCTTTCCCAAGGCCACTTGATCCCATGGTTGTTTAGCCGTTGTCAAAAAACTAGAGACATTTTCAGCATCAGATAGACCATCTCCATAATCATGTGAATCAGTGATGTTAGTGCCTAGTGGTGACCTCTGTCCTTAGTTGTACTTCAAGCAAACTCTAAAAAAACAAGAGAAAGTTATTTGTCTAGAGTTCAGACCCCATTAGAACATCACTTTCCTACCTGAAAAGATAATGACTTCCATAGACTATATCTTTCCACAAGAAAAGTATCATAGTGACTGAGATTACATGAACCTTTACGATGCCGAAACATCTACTAAGCTGTTCCTGGGCATGGATGTGTGTGGAGACCACGGAAATGTTCCCTGTTATATATCATCCCAGTTCACAGCTGAAATTTTTTGGATGCAATATTTTATACTTTCTTCATATCCTTTTTTTTCTTTTTCTTTTTTTTTTAGACAGAGTCTCACTTTGTCACCCAGGCTGGAGTGCAGTGGTGTGATCTCAGCTCACTGCAGCCTTGACCTCCTGGGTTCAAACATTTTTCCCATCTATGACCCCAAGTAGCTGGAACTATAGGCACACACCACCACGCCTGGCTAATTTTTTTGTATTTTTTGTGGAGATGGGGTTTTGCCATGTTGCCCAGGCTGGTCTCAAACTCCTGAGCTCCAGTGATCTACCTACCTTGGCCTCCCAAAGTGCTAGGACTACAGGTGTGAGCCACCATGCCCGGCCATCTTTCCTCGTATTCTTAAGTGATAAGTTACTCAAGAATACCATAAATGTTACATGGTTACTTTAATATTAATAAAGGATGTGTAAAGAGAAAATTTTTTAATACAAATATATTTATGAACATTATCCTCAGTGATTACAAAAATATTCAACAACTATAAAAAATTCTATTTGCCTGAGAGTAAGATTATTCTTTGCAGTGGTAAAAATGCTACTGTGAATTTATTTAACACCCACATTATGTACTATGCACCATACCAAATGCTTTGCATATATTATCCAACTTGATCTTCACAACAAGGCTATGAGGTAGTAATAATTATTCCCAGTTCACAGGTGAGGTGATGGGACTCACAGCGGTTTGGCAACTTACCCCAATCCACACAATTATGAAGGCCTAGAATCAGGACTCCACTATAAAATAAAGCTTGTGTTCCCTTTCTTCTTACTTCCACAAGCATGGATATCACAAACCATCATAATTTTGTCTGCTAAACTAGTGTAAAGGGTATCACTCCTCCACATCATCTCAGAAAAAAGATGTTAGACAGATTATCTGTTACAGAGGTAGAAGGAAAATGTGGGGATGACAGCTAGCCCATTTGCCAGCATTGTCATGGGGAAAACGTGATTGGAAATAACCTCTTATAGTTGCTTACTCAAAAGCATTGCTGTTGGGTAGACATCATCACTTTATTTTACACAGCAGGTCCTTGATGCCAGGTCCCCACAGGACTTGAAACAGGAGGAAGACTGTCATGATGTAAGACATTTATCCACTTTAGACATTTTAGTAGATAAATGAAGCCATTGAGGATTCATCTCATGAGCTGTTTAAAGTCAATGTCTATTTTACTCTCGAACTTTATTTATTCAACTGGCAATCATTGAGCACCTGACCCCTGCCAGGCACTGGATTAGGCATTGAGGCTGCCAAGATGAACAAATCATTGTCCCATTCTTACCTTCAATAGGCTCATAGTCAACTTCAGAAAACAAACATGTGAATGAATAGGAAAAAATACCTAATGACCATATGTATGGTTGTATTCGTTCAGTGAGAGCACTGGAGTGACATTGGAATGAGTCTGTTCACCAGGCACATAACTTTGGGGGAAAAATGTTTGCTGTCTATTCATTCTGTGAAAGAACAGATTCTTTTGAAGGTAACACTCTTAGAACATAAAGGGTTATTTCAAGTGTTCAATAAAAACAGCAGAGAAACTGGATCCAAGCTCTCCAAATTCTGCTGCTCAATTGATTTGTGAAAGCAGATTATTAAAGTCATCTGGAACTAACTCTCACATCTTTTAACAAAGTTACCTTATCTGTAAGGCCTTTCCTGACCTATTTAAAACAACGCACCTCTCACCTCACACCCACCTCTCACTTGGCATACCCTACCTCCCTTCCTGGATTTATTTTTCTTTGTAACACTTAACACCATCTGACAAACTATATATTTTACTTGTTTATTTGTTTTTTTAATCTCTATAGTGTTATTAACGTAAACTCCAAGATTGTAGAAATTTTTGTGTTTGTCCTCTGGTATACTCCTTAATGCCTAAGGTTTTGCTTCTCACATAAAAGATATTCAAAAATTATTCACTGAATTAATGAATGAGTGGACTAATGGATGAGGAAATGAATATAATAAAACTTGTCACAGGTTTGTCTTTGAATATATATGAGTATTTATATGAATGTGTATAGATATCTCTTTTTTTTTTTTTAAATATGGAGTTTTGCTCTTGTTGCCCAGGCTGGAGTGCAATGGAGCAATCTTGGATCACTGCAACCTCCGCCTTCCAGGTTCAGGCGATTCTCCTGCCTCAGCCTCCCAAGTAGCTGGGATTATAGGCTCCCACCAACACACCCACGTAATTTTTTGTATATTTAGTAGAGACAGGATTTCACTATGTTGGCTAGGCTGGTCTCGAACTCGTGACCTCAGGCGATCCACCCACCTCAGCCTCCCAAAGTGCTGAGATTACAGGCGTAAGCCACCATGCTCAGCTGATACTGTATGCTTTTAAAAGACTTTTTAAAAATTTGTTTACTAGATCATCTTTAAGTAAACATCACTGGGACAAAAATTTCTGCTAGTTTTCTAAACTTAATAGTATCTGCCTATATTGACTATGAGAACTTACCTCTTCCAAGGCATGCTGGGGTAGAACTTCTCCGATTTCTCTAATGTAAGCTCTATCAGTATCAAGATTGAACAATTACCAAGTTTGATTACCTTCATGTGTATACAGCCATTTTTTTTTTATCCTGTTACTCACTGAACAGTAGACACACTACTTAGAACTAATAGGCCTAGACTAAACTGGTTTCTCAATTCAAAACCAAAATTATTCAGCTGAGCTGTTTGGGGAAGGTATTGATGTTCCCATAAGGGGTTAGAGATAACCTGGAAACAAACACTCATCCCCATGTTTAGAGTTATATTTCTGATCTGCAAAGAAACTGGCATGTAATGGGCCAGGTGGGCCGGGCTATCAGGTTACAATCTGTTTCTGCAATCAGTAGATGTTTCCGCTCTGCCTTCTGTCACCTGCACGTTTACCTGAGATCTCATTTCCTATGTCTGGACATTATTGTGTCTGCCACTGCCTTTTTTCAAAATAAGGCTTCTTTATTACAAAAGCAATGAACACCTATTATTTAAGTGTACACTTATTATTTAAGGACAGTAAGGAAAACGTTACCCATAATCTCATCATCCAAAGATAACTCCTATTAACATCATAGCATGTTTCTTGTAGTTTCTCTAGGCATATTTATTTGTTTTATGAGAATTCTTACATAATTTACAACAATTTAAAGAAATACTTACCTGTTGTTTCCATACAGATAGAGTTCCAAATCCAAAAGAACTTTAAGGGCAATTAGCATCATTGGGAAATGCATGGAAGAAGCAGTCTGTAGAAATGGTTTGTTCAAACTGAATGATAAGTTCTTTGGAGAACCTGACAAAAGAATGGAAAGAAACCCCCACACAGAATGAGATAATGATAACCCAAAAGAATCCACCTTGTGTTAAAGCATTTTCAAAAACTTTGAGTTACAAGTGCCATTTGAGATTTTGCCTAAACTTCACCCACAAAATCAATTAACAAGGGCAAATATTCAAAATAGTTATTTGGTAACATGATTTTTTTAATCAAGTGAGCTTTTTAAAAAATGAAGCCTATTAAAAACCCACATATGCAACAAAACCCAGTTCTACACACATAATATAAACTACTATTTCATGCAAATATATAAGTGGATTACTCATTAAGAATTTCCAAACACTGACTTTGAAATCCTTAAAACAGTTTGTAGTTGTGTTCACGAAACTGTGACCCTAAATCACTACTGCTTGTCTCAACATGAATGTCAATGTTATTTTAGTGCAGGCTGTTTAGTCTCCCAGTGGGGACGTTAGGACTTGCTGTTTGTTTAGGGCTTGCTGTAGTGTTGATAGGTACTCTCTGGCTGTGATGAAAATTATTGCTCTCCAGCATAGACATTTTCTCCCGAGTCTGAAAGGGACATAATCAGCTAACTTTCTACCAGGGTTTGAATTATTTCTAAAAGAGAAGTGTTATTTTCAAAGGGCAATAGAGTTTTGTTGGGTGTGATTTCAAAGGCTATGATATGTTCATGTAGCAAAAGGACTTGTGAAGCCACTTTTGTTAAAAAAGCATCCTTCTGAGGTTGCCTAGGACAAAAAGAGCTGTGCCCTCAATTTCAGAAATAACAAAAGGAAGCCCATTCCAGGCAACTATTCATTATTGATATAAATTAGCATACCAGGCTCTTGACTCAGAACCTCTTCATTAAAAAAAAAAAATTGCGTTTCAACCTTAGTAACCAAATGGGGGAAAGTCTGACTTATCTCTGAGTAAAATGCCATAATGCTGCTTGCTTTACTAGATTGTTTAAGGAGTTAGTGAGGTCACATGAAGTGAACCCATCATGGAGCCTGCAAAACGCTGAGTGCTCAGGGTAAGGGTTTCCCTTTACCCGCACTACTCCTTCCCCTCCCATATTAAAAGTCTTTTAAGTTGAGGCCTGAAGTGGAGGATCAATTTGTAGAAGCGACAGGAAGAGAGATGTTCGTTTCGAGAAGAGAAAAGATTTTCGAAGAAAAAATACAGTGACACTGTTGTACCTATTAGTGGGCCAGGCAGCCTTACCAGCAAGGGACTCCGATTCCCAAAGGTTCTCAAGCCAAAGTTAGGTCATCATTGTGAGAGATGTTGTAGACTAAATTCCCAGACGGTGTCTAGGAAGTATGCCAAAATGACAGGGAAGCTTTCTCCTGGCTCTAGTAATTGCAGGATTTATAAGGTGAAATATTATAACTAGTAAGTATTCAACAAATCCTTTTGAAATGATGTTGGCCATATTAGAACTTTCAAAGATTGTCTTGTCTATCACATTATCTCTATTCCAAGACAAAAAAAATCTCGAAGATCCTTCCCTGCTAATGGCAGTCAGTATCTTTATACATAAATGACCCTATCTATCTATCTATCTATATCTTTACATTAATACGACCTCCATATGGAGACAAAGAGGTTTCCCTAAATGACTAATGCTTTGTGAAAACAAGTGGTAATTGTTACAAACTTTGAAGTCTTAAAGATTAATGCCAAAGATGTCAGCATTCATCATTCTGGAAATATGCAAACTTAATTTCCCTGCATCACCACAGACATGAGATTTTTTTTTAAGTGCCTGATACACCATAGGAGAATTAAGATCGAGTTTAGTAAATGAAATAATAAAAACTCTGAAAGATAATTAATTTATTTGACAAATACTTACTGAGGATGTACTAGACACCAGACACTGAACAGAATACTAGAGTGGCTGGTAGAAGGGATTGGTGTTGGGGAATCGAAGGATAAATGGATAAGCAAGACAGACACAATCCTTGCCTTTACACTCTAGTAAAGAATTAAAGGAACAATTACAATAGAATAGCCTATTGGACCACAGAGCAGATAGGGAGGGGCACTAATTTAATCTAGGAGCCTGAGGAGTTTTAGGTTGGCAAAGAAGATGGTAATTACGAGAAATCGAAAAGACATTTAGAATGACCAAAGTATTATGGCAAGAGATCAAACTAGAAAGTCAGTAGTAGCTCATGACAGTAGTGTAAGCTTTAGTAAGGAGCATATACTTTATCCAAAGGGCAGTGGGAAGCCATTGTTTGAAAGAAGAGTGGCATGATCATTATCTGGATGTTTCCTTTTTTTTTCTTTTGAGATGGTCTCACTCTGTTGCCCAGGTTGGAGTGCAGTGGCGTAAAATCTTGGCCCACTGCAACCTCCACATCCCAGGTTCAAGTGATTCTCCTGCCGCAGCCTCCCAAGTAGCTGGGATTACAAGCATGCAACACCAAGCCTGGCTAATTTTTGCATTTTTAGAAGAGATGGAGGTTTCCTTGTGTTGTGGCCTGGCTGGTCTCGAACTGTTGACCTCAAGTGATCTGCCCTCCTCAGCCTCCCAAAGTACTAATATTACAGTCATGAGCCACTGTGCCTGGCCCATATCTGGATTTTAAAAGATTCTTCCAGCTGCAGAATGGAGAAGAGATTGTAGTAAAGACCTACAGTGAGGATGGGGAAACCAGTTAGTAATTGATTAAAATCATTCAGGCAAGAGATGATGGTTGTCTAAACCAGCATGTGTCCATGGAGATGGGAAAGAAGAGGCTGGTTGCAGAATTTCTTTTGAAAATACATTCAGAAAGATTTACTGATCCATTGGCTATGGGAAATGACCAGAAATCAAGGATAATTCCTAGATTTGTAGCTAGATATTTGGTTGGGTCATGGGGCCACTCCCCTGCGAATGAGAAACTGAGAGTGGAGGGAAGGAGAAGCAAGTTTGTGGGAGGAAAATGATGAGTTCACTTTGGTGGTACTGAGTTATAGATGCTTAAGACTCCAAGGCGAAATTTTGTTTTAAATTATTTCCTTTGATCATATGAAGGGGAACTGTTGAGTTAACTTCTAGATATCTATTACAGACTTCTGAGTTAAGACCTGAGCTTCTTTAAGTGCTAAGAATTAGCAGGGAAAAAGAATTGGAGGAAGGGGCAGGAGAATGAGACGTTAATTCATGTAACATGGTCCCTGGGAGGACAAGAGGGATCCATGTACAGGTGGAGGGAATGACTTTGGACAAAGACGGCGACCACTTCTTTCAATGCAATAGCAGGAGAGACCCCAAAAAAGGGCATAAATATAGGTAAATTTGTCATTTTTATGGAAGGAAGTCAAGGAAGTTTCTGTCTGGCAACTTTCATTTACTCTAAAAAGGAGACATGGTCATCTGCCAAAAGGTATGATGGATACAGTTCTGAGGCTTATCAAGGAGAAAATGTACAAAAGCCATTGTGAAAATCAAAGAAAGGAACCAGAATTATCAGGATTATTTCTGTCAAGAGTAGAATGCTGATAATCCAATTCTTCCGGGGTTTTAATTTTTTTATTTTTATTTTTTTGAGAGGAAGTTTCGTGTTCCTTGTTCTTTGGGCTATTGTATAACCCACCATGTCATGTTTCTAAAATTATTTCAGATAACTTCTGGAACAATGTATATGGGAACTCTCCCCTGCACTGAAGGAGCAACTCTGAGTTTCTATTGTTATGGTCTAGTCACACTTTCCATATGTGTGAGCCTCAAAACTAAAACAAGGCTGGCATTTGTTCGGTAGTGTCCTCACCACAGCACAGATCCCAAATCCCATTTCACCTAGCTTTGCTTGGTGAAGCGGACGTTAAGATACCATTGGAAATGAAATAATAAGAGAAACATGCAGGGTACGGTGGCTCATGCCTCTAATCCCAACACTTTGGGAGGGCGAGGTGAGTGGATCACTTGAGGTCAGGAGTTTGAGACCAGCCTGGCCAACGTAGTGAAACCCTGTCCCGAATAAAAATATAAAAACTAGCCAGGCATGGTGGTGCATGCCTGTAATCTCAGCTGCTTGGGAGGCTGAGGCAGGAGAATCACCTGAACCTGGGAGGTGGAGGTTGCAGGGAGTCAACATTCCGCCACTGCACCCCAGCCTGGACAACAGAAAGAAAATCATTTCTTTTCCGTCCTTTGACTTGATTCAAAATATTTTATTCTAGCAACTCCCACCTAAGCTACCTTTCTTATGCTCCCCACCTTCCCCATCAGTCTTTCTGCATCTCTGTCCTGCCATTCATATTCTCCAATGCTCTCATTATCTGAGTTTTACTTTGTCACCCAGGCTGAAGTGCAGTGGCGTGATCTTGGCTCACTTCAACCTCCGTCCCCCAGTTTCAAACAACTCTCCTACCTCAACCTTTAGAGTAGCTGGGATTACAGGCGTGAACCACCATGCCCAGCTAATTTTTGTATTTTTAGTAGAGATGGGGTTTCACCATGTTGTCCAGGCTGGTCCTGAACACCTGACCTCAAGTGATCTGCCCACCTTGGCCTCCCAAAGTACTGGGATTACAGACATGAGCCACTGTGCCCAGCCTCAGTTTACTCCTTATATTTGAAATTCTTTGGTTATTTCTGTGTTGGTCTTCTTTCTGTTTAAATTTTCCTTCTCATTCCTTTTAAGTTCACTCCTCTGTTCCTTGAATTTCTCTTTCTACTTTAGTTTCTTCAGTCAGGTGTTCTTCCCAGTGTGCTCCATGAAAGTCATACTATCATCACTGTCAAACTTGTTTCTATCACAAACCTGCTGGGATAGTACAAATATAAGAAATGGGCCCGGTGCTTACAGCAAAATTCATTCATCGTAAATGGACCACAACTGATGACATGAGGACTAAAGTCCCCCATATTTATGGATGGTGAAGCAATATCTCCAAAGGTATTTAACAATGACAGTAGGAATGAGCTGGGGTTAATGCTGTAATTTTCAACTCTAAAGTATTTTTTTTGTCATTCTTGGATTGGATGTATTTATTTAATATAGTAATAG